GTCTATGCAAGTGTCTTTCTCCTCCTCTCCCTTTTTGTAATAAACCTGCCCTTTTGGATATAACTAACATCTGTGTGGTGGAGAATCTTGCCTGGGAAACTCACTGGTGCCACTGAGGGGGGAGCTCTGATGAAATTTTTCCCAGAGTGAACCCAGGAATCCTGCACTCCAAACCCAACATCTCCAAAAGCGACTTCATCTCTCCAAAAACGCCTTCACAAACATTTAATAAAGGAGAAGAGAAACCTGAACAATGAAAAACTATAAAATTCGGGGGCTTTCCTGGTGGTGCAAGGGGTTAAGCACAACACATGGCACAGCAGACCTCTCCTGCATTGCCCGCAGCTCCCCTCAGCAGTTTGTTTCAGTAGATCTGCCTGTTCTGCTCCCCGCTCTGTCTCCGGTGAATCCTCTCACCCCCCACACCTCTGGCCTGGACCCTAGTTCTTGTATGCATAAAGAAAAAAAAAATACAAAGTTCACAAAGTCAAAGACTAATTAAAAGTCCTCCCAACCCCACCAAAAAAAAAAAGTCCAGGAGAAGACAGTTTCATTGTTGAATCCTACCATACTTTTCATGAAGTTCTTTTAGACGTTCTTGACAAACTTTTCCAAAAATTAGAAGCAGATTTTATGAGACCAACATTACTTTGACTCCAAAAGGAGACAAAGATACCACAGAGAAAGAAAGCTATAGACCAAGATCTCTAATGAACATAGATGCAAAATCCCACAATAAAATTTTATGTTACTCTCACTTTCCTTGCTAGTGATTGGTCTATTTAGATGATCTATTTCTTCCTGATTCAATTTTGGGAAATTACATATTTTGTGAATTTATTCATTTCTTCTAGGTTGTCCATATATTATATGGATACTCACACTAATCTCTTATGATCCTTTATATTTCAGTGTTATTTTTTGCAACTTCTCCTTTATTTCTTGTTTTGTTTACTAGAGCTTATCAGAACAAGTAATCACTCATGGTTAACAATAAATTAGTTTCATATAATAATTGTTTTTTTTATTAAATAAAATGTTAATCCAACTCAGGCATGCATGTAAGCAAAAATAAAAAAGTAAAAGGAACTCAGGTGCAGGAAGTGAGCAGATTCACTAGAGACAGAGTGGGGAGCAGAACAGGTGGATCTACTGAAATACACAGCTGAGGGGAGCAGTGGGGAGACAGGAGAGGTCTGCTGCACCATGTGGGTTGGCTCCCTAGTTGGGATTCAACTCTCTGCATTGGCTGGCACTAGCTTGACAATGCTAAGACTTTAACCCCTGTGCCACCAGCGAGGCCCCTTTGTCAGGTTTTTATATCAGAGTGATGTTGGTCTTGAACTATATTTGGAAGATTTCCCTCTTTACTTTTTGGAAAACTTTGAGTAGATTAGGTATTAGTTCATATTTGAAGATTTGGTGGACCTCACTTGTTCCACCATCTGGGCCTGGACTTTTGTTCTTTAGGAGATTACTGTTTCAATTTTCTTGCTTGTCATTTGTCTGTTCAGGATTTCTATTTCTTTCTAGTTCAGTCTTGGAGGGTTGCAGCTTACTAAAAATTTCTCCATTTCATCTAGGTTATTTACTTTGTTGGCATATAGCTGCTCATAGTAATCTCATATGATAATCTGTATGTCTGAAATATCTGTTGTAGTGTATCTCCTCTGTTATTTCTAATTCTGCTTATAGAGTTTTGTCCCTTTGTTTCTTAGTTGGTCTAACTCGAGGTTTATCTTTGTTGATCTTTTCTTTTTTAAAGGTTTATTTATTTGTGCATACAAGAACTGGGGTACAGGGCAGAGGTGTGAGTGGTGATAGGATTCACCAGAGACAGAGGTGGGACCAGAACAGGCAGACTGACTGAAATACACTGCTGAGGGGAGCAGCGGGCAAGTCAGGAGAGGTCTGCTGTGCCATGTGGGTAGCTCCCTGGCTGGGGATCAAAGTAATGCTTCAGAGGCTGCTGATTGCTTCATAGTGCTGTGTTTAACCCTTTGTGCCACCAGGGAAGCCCCTGCTTTGTTGATTCTTTCAAAGAACTAGTTTTTGGTTTCGCTGATGCTTTGAACTATCTTTTTGATTTCTATTTCATTTATTTTTGCTGTAATTTTTATTATCTCTTGCCTCCTACCAGGTTTTAGTTTCATTTGTTCTTCTTTTTCTAATATATTGAGGTGAGGATAAGGTTTATTTATTTGAGCTCTTGTTACTTGATGTGTTCCTGAATTCCTCTCAGTATCACTCTTGCTGATAGATAATTTCTGATACATTGTGTCTTCATCTCCAGGTATTTTTAATTTTTTTCTTTGATTTCTTCATTTATTCAGTCTTTCAGAGGTGTGTTGTTCAGTCTCCATACATTAGAAATTTTTCTCGCTTTTCTTTGTGGTTTATTTCTTGATACTACTGTGATCAGAGAAGGTACTTGATTTGATTTTAATATTTATGAACTTACTGATATTTGTTTTGTGACCCAGCATGTAATCTCTCCTGGATAAAACTGACATTGGCACAGTCCCCAGAGTTTAAGATTTCACCAGTTTAGCAAGCATGTGTGTGTGTGTGTGTGTTTGTGTGTAGTTTTATGTGAGTTTGTCACATGTGGCTACCACATTATTCCTGGCAAACATTAATTTGTTCTTCATCTCTATAATTTTATTTCAAGGATGTTATATAAATATAATGTTACGTAAACATTTGAAATTAAGCACATGTTTTTAATGTATACTTGCTAAAGGCCTTTTTAGATTAAAAATGTTTAGGTTTTCAATGAGTGAAATGTAATTACAAGTTTAAAAAATACATGGGTTTAATTTATCCTTAGGCCATCATGAGTTTTTACTTTTGAGTTAGGCAACAGCAAAAATTTACTCAATTATTCTCTCATCTAACAAATGTATCCAGTCACTACTCCATTCTGGATACTGTCTGAGGAAACACTGGGAAAAACCTACTAAAAGTCTTATTCTCCTGCAACCTATGTAAAGTGGGGAAAGAGGATACTAGACAGTGAATATAATAAATAAGAAATGTTTAGTATATTGGGAAGTGATAAATGCTCTGGAAGATGAAAAATTGAGTAGGAAATCAATGATCAGAAGTGTAGGGAGGGGACGTTGAACAAATTGCATTATTCAATAGAATAATCAAGGTAGGTCTTGTGAATACATAGGTAGGCACAAATGAATTGAATGTATAGTAAAAAGTGTTTCTCCTTACATATTGATTTGCATATTTCTACACGATATGCATATCACATCTGGAATTAAAACAATATTTGAATTTCTAGTATCTTTTATAGTATGATCATACTATGGCACTCATTTTGCCTTTTTTGCTTAACTGTCATTCAGATAAGGTTCATATTGGGCTAAAGTTTACAATATTGACTTTATTTGCAACACTGATTCCTAACTTGACATTCCTTAGCATTGCACAGATTAATGTTCTATATATTCAAGAAGCACTGAGTCCCTAGTTTTATTATTCATATTGAAGTTGCCAATGGACTTTGCTGGATATTTTGTGGAAGGAAGAATTACAATGATGTTATCAGAATCCAACCAAATTATAACTCATATTATCTTCCTTAATTTAGTAAAATGTCAGATATCTCAAACTAGTATTTTGAAATTTATCATTTCCCCCCATTCAGTTTTTGTCTGGGTACAAAATGTAGTATCCGTGTGAGACCATTACATTCTTTTATTAGCTTAGGAAAACATTGCTTTTCTTTAGAGTAACATTTGAGAGGAACATTCTTCTCCTTTAAGAATTACCAATATTTTTTTCTAGAAAGTACTTTCCTATCTCTGTCTTTCACAAATCTGAATTTATATCCATTGTTTATAATACTTCAGAAAGTATATCTTTTTATTATTTATTATTTATTTATATTTTAAAATGTTTATTTATGCATACAAGAGCTGGGGTACAGGGCAGAGATGGGGGGGTCAGAGGATCCATCAGAGACAGAATGGGGGAACAGAACAGGCAGACTGACTGAAATACACTGCTGAGGGGAGCAGTGGGAGAGGCAGGAGAGGTCTGCCTTGCCATGTGGGTTGCTCCCTGGCCACCCGGGGATCTAACTTGTGCTGCAGAGGCTGTGGATTGCTTCAGAGTGTGGTGCTTAACCCCTTGCGCCTCCAGGGAGGCCAGAAAGTTTATCTTTTGATAGGATAACTTTTACTCTAGAAATTATTACCTTTAACCTAGAGCCACAGTCTTAACTGCAAAAACACACCTGCATTTAGTACTTTTCTCTAGATCTGCACCTTTTCTATCAGAGACATATTTATCAAGAAGCTATTGAGATTTAAGCTTCAGTGTACCATTTTGTGTAGGCCCATTGCCATAGCTTGCACTTAATTTTAAATTCATCATTTTGTGCTCTGGCTTTTTTTTTTTTTTTTTTTTTTTTGTGGGACCCTCGCCAGTGGCCAGGTATCAAACTGGCGCTGCAGAGGCTGCGGGCAGCCTCGCAACCCAGCGCTAACTGCTATGCCACCAGGGGAGGCCCTTGTGCTCTGTTTCTTAAGACTCTTCCAAATTATATAAGCTTCCAGGCCCCATAAACCCTAGATCTTCCCTGTTGCTATACAGGACTCAAGAGGATAGGTTGCATAGAAATAAAAAGAAACCAAGAGCCTGGATTTTAAATTAAGGTTATAATTTTACGGGGCCTCCCTGGTGGCGCAAGAGGTTAAGCACTGCACCATGAAGCAATCCACAGCCTCTGCAGCATGAGTTCGATCTCCAGCCAACCAGGGAGAAACCCACATGGCGAGGCACACCTCTCCTGTCTTGCCCGCTGCTCCCCTAAGCAGTGTATTTCAGTCAGTCTGCCTATTCTCTTCCCCACTCTGTCTCTGGTGGATCCTCTCACCGCCCTATCCCCGCATCTCTGGCCTGTACCCCAGCTCTTGTTTGCATAAATAAATAAATCTTTTTTTTTCATAAAAGGTTATACCTTTACATTAGCAGTCCCTTACGTGGCCAGCTTTCCTAGGTTAAATGAAATGAATGAATACAATTCATTTGTGACTTTAGTTGATTTTAAGTACAGTATTCTATAGAACCCCATTTGACAGTGAGAAATACACATTCTGGTATTCATGGCTATGTGCCATGTTATTGCTATAAAATATTGTATTTGACCCTTATGAAACCTTGAAAGTAGGAAGTATGGTCCCAAATCCTATCACAGAGCATTAAGGTATAATTCTCCAAAGTAATACAGGTAAAAAGTTTGCATCTGGGATATAAAACCAGTTCAATCTGACTCTAAAGGTCACGGGGCCTCTGCACAACGCAACTGAGGAGCTCCTTCTCTTTTTCTTGAATTGATATCTGATTATACCAAGGTCCTCTACAGAATACAAAGTTAGAGGTAAGTGTGGGAGATAAGATACTTGGAATTTTTCAAAATAATTCAGTAATATGAAATTAAGCATACTCCATTTTTCCATTTGTCACAAGATAAAAATATCCATGAGCCCTGTTTATAAGAAATGTTCTGCTCAAAATAGAGTTGAGGCAGCAACACTTTGCGCTGCAGAATAACTTTCACTTTCCCATGCAATTAGCATGCTGTTCTTCCACTCTACAGTTCTGTTGTTTTAACCACATTCAAGAAAATCAAACTAGGTCACTCCTAGCTTCCGATTTGGCTAATTATAAATTCAATTAAAATCTTTAGGATGAATTAAAAATCCGATCATAGTTTTGCTAAGAATGTGCAAAGCTGCCAAATTCCTCAATTCTTAGGCAAATTTTCCCACAGCTTGTGCTAAACACCTGAAAGCTCTGCTCAGTGCATCTGCTGATTCTTCTCCTGGCTGGATGGGAACTAATGACCACAATCTGGAAGGTCTTCGTAGGAGTAGCCGTTGTGGCCTCGGGACGCTCTGTAGGCGATCAGCAGGTGGTAAAACCCAGGCAGGAACACCAGGACACCAACGATCAGAACGCAAATGGCCCGACTTGCGCCCACTTTCCGGATGTAACCTGCTAGCAGGAGGCAGCCGGTGATAACGAGAAAGATGCCAATCAAAAACTGTGTGGTGGCACAGGCAATGGCCTTATAGGGGGTCTTGACAGGTCTTTCTTTACATCGTAACAAGTGAGATCTCACGACTCCCAGGCATCTTTTAAAGCTAGCTTCAGCAGGTGAAGTCTCCTTCTGAAGGTTAATGTGTACACCATCAGTGCTGGAGAGCTTAGAGTATTTCACTTTGCTTCCGGGGATCCCAGCAGCCACGTTGGCCCAAGTGGGCACCATAACCTACAAACCGGGCTGGGAGTTCTCCTGCCGCCGTGCAATGGATGAGTTTCTCGGGGCGGAGTCCACCCAACGGCTGCCCTGACCGCGTGGGGAGGGTTGACGCACTCCTCTCACTCATCTGTGTCTCCTGACTCGGCTGTCTCTGGGAGACTCACCTCGCCCCGGCTTTTTTGGACAGGGCAGCTCTTTTAATTGCAAAGTTGTGACTACTTTCATTAATAGTCTGTTATTATATTGGCTCTATTATTTTCTTAGGCCAGTTCTAGTACAGGAATCTCATTCCTTTATCATTGAAACTATTTAGATTGAATAGATTAGGTTACATTAGATTTCATTCCATTTTGTAAAATTCTTATTTTCTCTAAATCTTCAGAATCACATTGCATTCATGCCTCTCTTCTTGCACCGGTCCAACATACAGCTGCATTAGCTAATCTGATCAGCCTCAAATGGTCAGTCAGGAGAGGAAAGATGAGAGTCAAATTTAGTGAAATCCTACCTTAGCCACCAGTCACGTGTAAGGGTGGTCACAGTGCCCACCTAGGAGCCTAGTTCCTTCCTAAAGTGGGATTCATATCACCTGCTGCATAAAGTGATTGTGAATAGTTACTGAGTGATGTATGTGAGCTGCCTTGAAGAGAGCAGATACCCCTCATGGAGGTAAGATCCTGACATCATCAAGGGCAAGGAATGTCCAAACACTTCAAAGCCCTGAAGTCTTCATTTTGGTTCATGTTATAGAAACCACTTTACTACAAGTTTGTGTTGCCTGATCATTGAATTGACTGTCTTCAGGGAGTGGTGTGCCTTTTGGAATGGCAGAGTTTAATACAAAGTAGTGTGATTTATCAGACCATTGTCAAGAGGGCTCCTACTTTATGAGTCATTGAATTGGATACCTTTAAATTCTGTACTAACTCCTACATTTTATGAACTTGAGCTACAACCTCTGATTCAAAGTTCATTACCAACCAAATACATGATTGTATTTCTTACTAATCAACACATTCTTAGTTGCTTATAATTCATCTCAAAACTTGTTTCCTATCACATTCATCATCCCTTTTAATTCAATTTAAGCTCATTTGGAATATGCATTTTAAATTCAAGAAATGTGTTTTTTTTAATATATTGTTTTATATATGTGATTACCTCATTATCCAAACTAGAATATAAACTTGGTGGAGGAGATGGTATTTGTTCAAGATTTTTAAACCTAGGAATGAGTCCTTTGTTTTCTGTAAAAGCAATATATGTTGCTTTAATTTACTACAAACTGTAAATATATAGGTATTTATAGTTCTTCCTATAACTATTTAAATTTAAACTATGAGACATCATGCCAAAAAAACACACCTACCCCTTGGAGGCACAGACTGGAGTTTTGGGACCAGGAATCTCTGGCAATTATGTGGTAGAAAAACTTTTCTTTTCAAGTAATGTAGCACTTCATAGAATCTTGGGACTGAAATAGTGTCAGAGAAGATTCCTTCCTCCACTCCAGTAAGAACAACCTGAAAGTTAACTCAGACAGGCCTTCCTCTCAAAGGGTTTCATGATTTGGAGACAAAGTGAGTACGTTTTGGATCTATGAGACCAGCCCAGACTGCACCCAGGGGCACTGATGAGATTCATGCTTCATTAAAAAACAAAAAATGTGGGTGAAGAGAAGCACCTGGAGGCTGTGGTCTGGAGAGGAGAGGCTGCCAGACAGACAGCCACACTGCCCGTCAGCTTGGGTTGCTGGGGAGGGAAGAGTTAAGGGTGTGGAGGTGCATATCCTTGACTAAGTGGAAATCACATGCCTGGTCCAGCGTCAGAAGAACACGGACAGTGTGCTGGGCTGCACGGCAAAATGAGGAGGGGTCCCAGTGAACTGCAGTGGTAGACTCTGGCGGATATGGTGTGGTAACATACACCTGAAAATGTGTGAATATATACCTCTGGATCATACGAAGTTTTGCAAACCAATGATAACTCAATTAAAAAAATTTAAATCATGATCTTACCTTCAGTTATATAACATTTTATAATGTACAATCTCCGTAACATATCGCAGAAATACAAAGTCACGCTGATATATCTGACACCAAGATCACACAGCTAGTTAGCATTAAAGTTAGGAATAAGTCATCTGTAGTGCATCCTCAACTATAAAGAGCTAGAAACCAGTAATATTTAATGGAGTTGAACTTTGTCTTCATTCCGACTTACTGAATTTTATTTGCATAGGATCACATTTTATACAAACTAGATGATAAAAGTCTCTCCTACCTGGGTTGCTGAGACTGGACCTTAGCTTTTTGAAGAAGAAGCATAGTCAGGTGTCACCTCTTTGAGAAAAAAAATTGAACTGAGGCAGGTAATCCTTTCATATTCTGGATGGGCAGTTCTTAGAGATTGTACTGGCTCTCAGTGGGTAGAATCCTACTGGTACATAGGACATCTGTGCTTTAGGTTGTAACTGTGCTGCTGGGGAAAAAAAACGGAATATGGGGAATATAAAAATAAAATTTATTAAAAAAAACAAATTAGTATATTTTATATCCTTTGAGTAGATTCCTAATAGTGGAGTCACTGAGTCATACGGCAGTTCAATTTTTAGTGTTATCAGGAACCTCCATAGAGCATTCCATACTGTCTGGAGCACTTTGCATTCCTACTAGCAAGTTCCTTTTTTTTTTTCCTTTTACCACATCCTCATCATCTGTTGTTTTCTGGCTTTTTTTTTGATATGGACCCTTCTCACTGGTGTGAGGTGGTATCTCATTGTGGTTTTGATTTGCATGAAATGCTTTTCTTGTTAGATGAATGGATGAAACAATATGATATATGCACTCGATGGAATATTATTCAGCCATTAAAAGAATGAAATCTTTAGAATTGGCAACAACTTGGACAGATCTCGAGGGAATTATGCTATATGAAATAACTCAGTCAGAAAAGAAAAAATATTTTATGTTATTGTCTTATTTTGGAATCTTAAAAAAAATAAACAAAAAACCAAGTTCATAGATGCAAAGAATAAATTGGAATTTGCTAGAGGTGGGTAAGGAGAATGGGAAAATTAGATGAAAGAAGTGAAAAGCTATGACCATTCACTTTATAAATAAGTCATGCTGATGTAATATACAGCATGATAACTATGGTAAATAATTATTGCATATATGAAAGTTCTCTAAAAAGCACACCTTAAAATTTCTAATCGCAAGAAGAAAATGTTATAGCTCTGTATGATGATAGATGTTATAGTGTGTCCATGTTTATAATATATAAAATTATGGTGTCATTATACTTTATCCCTGAAAATATTATAGTTCTATACATCTATCATACCTAATATGAGAATAAATGCAGAAAAATTATATCACACAGTATCCTCAGACAAATTCACTTATAGATATTTGTGAGAGTATTCTTTTGAGGGATTGTATATCTGTAAATGGGAGTAAATACATATTAATCTGATAACTGTAAAAAGGAGAGTGATGTGCGCATGTATGAATATGTTTGTGTACATTTATAGATATTGAAAGGATTGGCTCAATAAAGAAAATGAGAGCCAGGCTAAGTTTCTCACAGGCAGGAAATTTATTGTGCTCACAGGCAAGATCTGCTGACTCCTGTGGGGGTAGGAGAAGTTGTGCCTGCTGGGGGATAAGTGCAAGCTTTTATAGGGCAGGGCCTGGGTTGGAGGGAGGCATAGAATGCAGAGTGGAAGTTGCTTTTCAAAGAAGTTTTTTTCTCTTGGAACTGGTTGTTCTTTCAAAGCTGCTTATCAGGGCCCTTGCAAACTGGGCAGAGCCAATTCCTGGGATGCAGGTGGCAGCAGTTTCAAGTCCCCCCCATCTCTACCCTGGCCTCGACCTCACAGATATATCTATACATTTATTATAAATTGTATTACTATAGAAAATGTGAAATACAATATGAAAATACTATAAAATGTGCAATTTAGTCATATTTATTATAAATGGGTCAATTTATACTCCCAACATGCTTTCACTGATTTTTTTCTGAACTGTTGAATACCCGATCTACTGTTGCCCAATGCTGAATGAATAATGTTGTGACGTGATGACTACCTGGTATATTCATTGAAATTAGTGAGTAGATGAAAGTGAAAATCATGAAGAAACTTTGAAACTTCATTTGATACACAGGACAAGATCAACATCATCGCTGAACTGATATGAGCTTTTGAATACTGTGCTTCTCACAATGAATGACTAGCAATGTTTTGTTTGTCCTGCATTATAACATTTTTCTGCTTTATGATCTTAAGTATTGACTTGGTCAGTAAAATAATAAATAAAATACTGATAAATAAAAAACCAAATAAACAAGCAAATAAATTTAGTGTGATTCTAACTCTTCAAATAAAGTGAGAAAACATGAATCTAGACCAAGGGAAGGCAAGTATTGGTGACTACATCTGAGGGGAGAAATCAAATACTCTACAAAACTGAGTAACAATGTAAGAAAATTGAAAAATTAATAAAAGAACAAAGACAAAAACATTAATGTTCATGCTCACCACTACTTTTCTACATATTATTGGAAGTCCTAGCAGAGCAATAAAGCAAGAGGAAGATACAAAATTAAGCCAAATTGAAAGAGAAAATTAAACCTATCATTGCTAACAGATGACATGATCATATACACAACAACCCGAATGACTCTGGTGAAAACAAAACAAAACTTGGAATCCATAATTCACAAAGTCACGGGCTCATGACTATATGCAAGTGTCTGTTGTGTTCCTATAGACAAATCAAAATAGAAGAGAAAGAGATCAAGAAAACTCCCATTATAGTAACATCAAAAAGCATTAAATACCTAGGAGTGAACTACAAAGTTTCACTACAAAGTGAAAGACCTATTCAATGAAAATTATAAGATATTTGGTTTCCAAAAAGAAACCAAAGGGGAATAAAGAAGTGGAAGAATCTTCCACGCTCATATCGGAAGAAATAATAGTGTTAAAATGTCCATCTTACTCAAAGAAACAGATAGTCAATGAAATTGCTAATCAACATTTCAATGGAATTCTTCAAAGATTAGAGCAAATAATACTAAAATTTATACAGAATAACAAAAGACGATGAAGAGACCAAGCAATCTTGACAAAAAAGAAGAGGAAGGAAGTTTCACAATCCCACAGTTTTAGCATTCTAGAAGCTCTAGGTGTCAAAACATTGTGGCACTGGAATAAAAGATGAACATATAAAATAATGGTATAGAATTGAGAGCCAGAAATTAACCCACATTTATATGGACATTATATTTTAAAGCCAAGTGTATGCTATGGGGAGAGCAGGGAAAAACATTTTTTATCCTGGAGTTCTGTTTTCACAAACTTCCCAGTTATTCTTCCACAAGTTTCTGATTCACACTCTCAATTTTGAGCACCTAATAAAGCAAATTCAACAGCTGAGCTAAATATAAATCTTGACCAAACTGAAAGCAAAATCAAAATCTTACTAAAGGAGGGGTAAAGTTAATGCAAGTCATATTCAGATAGAGATCAGCATAGACAGAAGCCTTTATATATCTGCAAAAGAAACAAACACATGGCAGTAGCTACACTTCAACAAAGAAATTATTGCATCACCCCTCCACATAACCACTCTCTTTCAAAGTCATAGATTAATTTTACCTGTTTTTGAATTGTATGTGTTATCATAGTAAGAGTTGCCATTTTTCCCACGGAGTATTATGTTTCTGTGATTCATAGAAGATATCCAGGTAATTATAATTCACATATCCTTACTGACACATGGTGTTTTCTTGTATATTATCTATTTTACTGTACATAGACCTTGGGTTGCTTCCTTTTGTTGGCTGTTATGGAGTTGGTGCATTGATGTTTTTATAATTCTCAGTTTTCTAACTTTTATCTTTTATGGTACTTCTGTTTACTTATGCTTTAGAAGTTTTCCTCCATTTTAGAATTACAAAGAGATTCACTTATATTTTTCCAGTTATAGCAAATTATTTTAGTTAGCTGCTTTGCTATTAAATATATTTAGAATTAGTTTAAAAGTGACATTATGTGTAAATCTTTTTTTATGCAGATTGTTAAGTTAGTGACCTAAATAAATGATTTTGTTTTGATCCTTTGTTCTCTAATGCAACACTGTGATCTAGTAAACTATTAAACAGATATATATGTTCACACATACAATCTTCATTTTATTTCAATATTGACATTGATTTTAAAAGAAAAAAATTAAATACTAACTCTAGAAACAAAATAATCTTAACGACATTGCGCCCAAATTTTAAAGTGTAAACAATGGAAAAATACACAGAAAAGGAAACTCAAGACATTTACAAACCATGCACTATACTTTCTGTTTTCCCCTTATTGTAGGCTACCAATGCAGACAATCCAGAAATAATTTAAATTTTGAAATTTCTGTTTTTTCAGTGTTCATCAAATTCATCACATCTACTTTCATCACATATTATATTTATTTTATTTTTTTTTTTTAAGATTGGTTTATTTATGCATACTGAGCTAGCATACAGGCCAGAGATGTGGGGGGTAAAAGGGTTCACCAGAGACAGAGCGGGGAACAGAACAGGCAGATTAACAGAAGCACAATGCTGAGGGGAGCAGCGGGCGTGACAGGAGAGGTCTGCTGCCTCATGTATATTGCTCCCTGTCTGGACGGGGTTCTGACTCTGTGCTGCAGAGGCTGTGGATTGCTTCATTGTGCGGTTCTTAACCCCTTGCACCACCAGAGAGGCCCTTCATCACATTTTATTTTTTTATTATTTTTTTTAATTCTTTTTTTTTTTTAATAGAGGCATGTTTTATTTATTTATTTGTTTGTTTGTTTGTTTTGTTTATACGTGCACTGGGTACAGTCAGAAGCGCGGGAGGGTGAGAGAATTCACCAGAGCCAGAGCGGGGAGCAGAGCAGGCAGAAGGACGGAAGTACACTGCTGAGGGGAGCAGCAGGCGGCAGGAGAGGTCTGCACGCCATGTGGGACCCTCCTCCGGTGGCTGGGGAGCAGCCTGCGATCGATCGAACCGGCGCTGCAGAGGCTGCCGGCAGCTTTGCAACCCAGCGCTCAACCGCTGCGCCACCGGGGAGGCCCACCTTTATCACATTTTAAACACCGATCATTTATAGTTAAGATTGCAAGAGAAGCACAAATGAATCTGTATATTAAAATACACTCTGTATTAGCTGATTGAATGAACTTCTTTTGCACTGATTCTAGTTTTCATTCATATCCCAGATAAACTTCAAGGGGAAATCTTTCATCCTACTTTTGAATATTCTGTCAAATCTTTCATTTTGTTCCACAGTTAAGTGAGTTTTCCAGTCTCCAATGGTACCTAGTGGGAAAAAGCACAGGAACAACACCTCTGTGAGAAGCAGCATTATCAGGACAAAAGTTTCCTTCAATCCTTTTAATCTCTTCTGCAAACCAAGCTAAATATCCATTAGTTCTCCATGGGTTGGAAACTTTGCTTTTGCTCACACATATCTGAGCTAAGAAACTAGCTGAGGAATGCAGCAACAGAGAGTATACTTATAGTCAACCCCCTATGGGTTATTCCTCTACTAAACACTGCATCTATTTTAATCTTATCAGGAAAAGCAAAATCACCACCTATGGAAAAAACTTATGTTTAAATACATCTTACAAAATCCCAGGCATCATAATGGGCAAATTACCATTGTCATGTAATAGAATTTTCAACAAAAATGCAAAAGGCAAGTATTACTTCAGTTTTAAAATGTGAAAACAAGAACGGATTTTCAAGTAATGAAGTAAAAGTCCCAGAAGGTGCCAAGATCTGTCTTTGCTGCAGTTTTGAATGACAGATATTTGCAACCAACATAGAACCAAAATTTTAAATGGAGAGAAACAATTTGGCATCTTCAACAATAAGAGTTTCTTGTGTGAATATTATTACTGGCATTTGGAACAGTTAGCAAGCTCTGTGAGAAGTGCGTAAAAGCTGATATTGTTGAGCACTAAGACATGAATGGGATAAAAATAGAACAAAAGAAGGAACACTGCTTTTTAAAAATGTTGATATCTAGAGAAATTTCAACAAGATCTTCACACACAATTAAGAATTAACCAGGGCACATCATCATACATTTTCTCAATATATTAAATAGATAATGAATAAAACAGAAAAATACAGTTTATGTTTCTTGCAGAATAATGTGCATTAAAATTATAAAACTTTCATTCTTTAGGAGCTTTAGGAGCAACATATAGTCTTTTTTTTAAAGATTTATTTATGCATACAAGAGCTGGGGTACAGGCCAGAGGTGTGGGGGTGAAAAGATTCACCAGAGATAGAGTGGGGAACAGAACAGGGAAGCCGAATGAAATACACTGCTGAGGAGAGCAGCGGGCAAGACAGGAGAGGTCTGCTGCACCATGTGGGTTGCTCCCTGGCTAGGGATTGAACTCGTGCTGCAGAGGCTGCGGATTGCTTTACAGTGCTGTGCTTAACCCCTTGCGCCACCAGGGAGGCCCAGCAACATATCTTCTTAACCACTCATAAATTACAAAAGCACAATGAAAATTAATTGCATACTGTTGAATAATAAAATTCATAAAAGAATAAGTTATGAGATATCAATCAACTCTTCACACTGAGGAAGTTTGACACTTGAGGAAATAATAGGCCAAATGGCCTCCCCCACACGAAATACATATGAAGTAAATTTCTGCAGTAGTCTAGGGAATTTTGACATCCTCCTGGTCATATATATCCATTGTCTGCAGGTAATTCCTCTTGGCAGATTTTAAAGTGTAGGATCATGTGGGTTATATGTTGGGAAACTAGTATTATTTGTCAGATTCCTGTCTGAGGCTGTGTACTAAAGTCCTGTTTCAGTTTCCGGTGATACTTTTCAGGACCACATGCAGTTAGGATCTTTGTCTCTAGGGCCCAACTGGCAGTACTTGGAGAGGTGTGTGGGAACCACTCCTTGTTTAGTGTGGTGGCCAAGGGTGCAAGTGAAATTTCAACATTTCTGCTTCTATAAACCACTGAGCATCACCTTTGCGCAGGAATTTTCCCTCTGTTCTGGTTGCAGCTTCGTTTTCTGATATGGCTTTATGATTTACTAGTGGATCAGTCTTCATGGTTTCAAATGTAGCCTGTTTTACAATAGTGTCTATGTCTTCTTCACTCAGCTCTTTCTCAACGAATCTGCTGATTTTTCGCACAGAAATTCTGAGATCCTGAAAGAATTGTAAGAACCTATTCAATAGATAAGGAATATATGAGCTTCAACCAAATATCTTTATCACATTTTGGAAAACTGAAGATATTTTACATCTCAAGTGTGACAAGGATACATTAATCTTTCTAAAAGTGTGTGCTTTTATTGTCTTTTTCTTAGAACTCCCTATCCCTTGATTTTATAAAGACAATTCATCATCATTCTTTCAGCCAGTCCTTTAATAATGTCCTAGGTGTTTTAGAAAATGTGCTTAAAAATTTAAGAGAATAATATGTGTTTGTTAAGAGTTCACAATTTCATTGGAAGAACAAAACAGGTATAAGTCTCTGTTGACTTAACAAAGAGGTCATGATGAGAAACCCGTAATAAATTGAAAAATTTTAAGTTGAAAAAGCATTTAATGCACCAAATGTACCAACATGATAGTTTGACTCAACCTACTAAAACTCCTCAGGAAACTCACAGTGGCTTATAGTTAGATGAAATATCAGATGGTAAGCCTATTTTAGAATAAAGTACTGACTATTGCCTGGCACTACTAACACTGGAGAGGGCATGAAGGCTCTGTCCTTTGCAAGTCAGCCATGTGTATTTTTATGCTCTAATATGCTTTGTAAAGGAGTCAAACAAAAAGCAGAAAATACAAAAATTGAAGAAGTTGTAGAGTAACAGAAACCATTTTGCACTATCAGTGAGAATGTAAGATAGCGCAGTCTCTATAGAAACTCCTGTACTAGTTTAAGATTCCTCAAAAAAAAATATTATTACTATATGATAGTATATCATATAGTATACTATATGATCATATAGTACTAAAAATAATAAAAAATATTATTACTATTCAAATCCTTTTGTGGATATTAGAATTGAAGAATTCTTTTCAAGAATTGAAAAGAAGGATTCAAAATGGTGTTTGTACACTCACCTTCATAGCAGGAATGTTTGTGATTTGAGAAATGGAAGCCATCTATGTGGCCTATCCACACATGAGTGGTTCAGTAAAATGTGATATTTAGATGCTATAGAGCAGCACTCAGTCCTTCAGAGGGTGGAAATTTTCACATATGCTACAGCATGGATGAATCTTGACAACAAAAAGTTAACTTATGTCAGTGTAAATGGAAAAAAATCAGTCATTACACTGATATGAGCCTCTGCATAGTCATCATCATAGCAACAGGAAATAGAATGGTGGCTGCCAGCAGCTGGAAGGAGTTAATTTTGGGGGGTACAAAGTTACTGCTTTGCAACATGAAGCAATTTCTGCAGATGGATGGGGTATGGATGAACATCAGTATGAATACTGTTGGTGCCACAAAACAGTATTCTTAAAGTTGTTAAAATTACAAATTTTGTTATGATATTTTAGCACAATAAATGCATGGAGGTGTTGAAAAGTGGAGACAAACTCACCAGGTGCAATGAGAGCTCAAAGAAAAGGGACATTAATAGTATCTTGTAGCAGTGAGAGCAATTTTCAAGAAGAAAAACGATTTCTTCCTATTCAGAAGGAAGGTAAGAAATGTTTCTGGGAAAACATAAGAATTCCCTCCTCAGGGTTAAATTCCAAACAACAGTAACTTGAAATGCTGTCCATAGTCAATGAAAACTGGAAGTCAGTGTGCCTGGTACTTGAGAGTCACAAAGAAAATACCTGGAGAGGCAGGTTGAATACAAAAGGGCTTTGTCTGGCTTGCCAACTATGTTAGTACTTACCCTGTAGGTGATACTAGCCCATTGAGGAGTTTGTGATTGGGAAGTAAAATCATGACCCCAGTTATCAAATTAATTCTAGAAATAATTTTACATTGAATAGTGATCATACACTCATTGTATTTAAGAACACGAACACATATACTCAAAAGCTATTAGATACTAAGAGAAAAGATATAGAAGTATAGGGACCCCTTGGTGGTGCAAGGGGTTGAGCACAGCACTGTGAAGCTATCCCTAGCCTGTCAGCACGAGCTCAATCCCAGGCTGGACAGGGAGCTACCCACATGGCTCAGCAGACCTCTCCTGTCTTGCCTGCTGCCCACCTTAGCAGCGTACTTTGGTCAATCTGCCTGTTCTGTTCCCCACTCTGTCTCTGGTGTTCCCCACTCTGTCTCTGTTCCCCACTCTGTCTCACTCCCACACCTCTGGCCTGTACCCCAGCTCTTGTATGCATAAATAAATAAATCTTTAAGAAAATTCCTAAGATATTTTCAAATTAACACACATGCAGAAAAGGCATGAAACAAGTATGCAGTATATTCAATTATGAAGTGAATGAACACTCATGATGTCAACATAGACATCAAAGTGAACATTGCCGGTACTCTGAAGCCCTACACATGCCTTTCCCAGTATTAAACCTTGCTCTCCCCTCCAAATCATCACTACTGTATTTGTATTGCATTTATTCCCTAATCCACTCCAGTTTGGCTTACTACGCTAGATACTGTCAGTAGATTTAATGGACAAAGTTTCAGTTATACTGTATATAAAGAGAATACCCAAATTGAAAGTATTTATATACATATACACATATATATATGTTTACAAATATACATAAATATATGTAAATAAATATATACATATGTGTATCTGTATATATTTAATGAACTCCAAATATGTATGCTATATACATATGTATATACATACACACATACATATGTACACATATGTGTATATATACATATACATATATAGCATACATTTCCACATATCTTCAATTGGATGCTTCTAAACATATTAAACTCCATATATCAAAACCTATCTCATTATTGTCTCACTCTGTTTCAGTGTTCCCTAAACACCGTCATGAAAGATACCTTTTTATGGAGAGGTATATGAAGAGAAACACAGAAATCATCCTGACACCTCTCTCTTTTTCATTTTTCCGATAGGTAATCCCCTTCCTTTTTGCCTCATAAACATATGAAAAACCATGTATTCTTGCCGACCCAATGACACCGTCCTTGTTCAAAATACCGTGATTTTCGCTGGTCTGCCTCTGCCTTGCCATATTAACTTTTGAACTCACTAAAGGCAATGATATTCTCAAAGGACTACTTCTGTCACATTGCTCTCCTCATAACTCATAAAATGTTTATAATTAAGGAAATTTCTATTTTTTAAAGACATATTTTTGCATGCAAGAATGAGGGTACAGGCCAGAGGTACAGGGCGTGAGAGGATTCACCAGAGTGGGGAACAGAACAGGCAGACTAACTGAAATACACAGCTGAGGGGAGCAGTGGGCAAGACAGGAGAGGTCTGCTGAGCCATGTTGGTAGCTCCCTGGCTGGCAGGGATCGAACTCATGGTACAGAGGCTGGGGACAGCTTCACAGAGCTGTGCTTAACCCCTTGAACCACCTGGGGAGGCCCAAAAATCTCTATATTAACATAATCTGCAGACTTGCACAGTGTGGCTCATTTCAATCTTAATCTTTCCTCACTTCTACCATGCTCTTTACCATTTGCCCTTAGCTTTCCTAATGGGTGATGCCCTTCACTGTTAGAGGGATTTGCATTCTTTCCTTGACTTACAATTTGCTTTCACCTCATTTACATTTGTTTACTCATATATATTATTTGGCAATTTTCATGTAGCATTTTTTCAGAAATTTGCCTATCACTTTTGACAGAGCAGATCCTCTTATTCTATCTATCTAGATATCATAGTTGCAAAATTTACACAATTAAAATATTTCCTAGTTATATAGATTTGCTTGTAATACCTGTCTTCCCTGTGTGATTTAAGCTCTATGGTATGGGATTCAATGACTTTTTTCTCATGATTAGTCCCAATCATATGAGGTTTTCAAGATTTTCCATGAGTAAATTATGTACTGCAAATCAACATATCAATCTGAGAGAGTACAACAGTGAAGTCTAAATATTTGCTGTATACAGTTTGCTAACACACTTTTGACTGGATGTGAACATGTAATCATTATGTGATTTCACCTGAAATCTGTGTTCAAGACTCTCTTTAATACTCAGGAAGAATTGGGTTCACAGTGCACACAATTTTCTTATACTGGTGGCCGTGTCACCCAAGCTCCATGTCATCCCTTTTCTTATAAGCTACAGCCATCTTAGACATTTGAGTTTGTCTTCATTGCTCCAGATGGTTGTTTAAGGATGAATCACAAAACATGACTGTACAATGACAAGAGAGTCCTAAGGAAAAACAATGATTAAGGGATGGGCAAGAAATGAGAAACCCAAAATGAAGTTTTGATTAGGTATGAAAGTGAATAGGAGAATGTGGGTAATTGAAAGCAAGATAAGAAAGGGTTTCAAAGAAATACTGTATAGAAACAAACCTTCTCCTCTTACCTTCTTCATCTCCTCATACATCATGAAGAGAATATTGAAATCATGTCTGTGCTCATACCAGCCTCTGATGTGATCAAACCAAAGACTTCCTACCACTAGGAGGTTGGGAGGGGGAGTAATAACAAGGCAAATATGTTACAATTATTTAACAACAATCTATAATCTTTCTTTTCTCTCCTGGAAAAAGTGACCTCGTTAGCCATCTCTGCTGCCTTTTTAAAATGGTGTTTTAAGGGAACTATTGCACGATTTAAAGAGAAACCAGTTTTGAACTGTCTCTATGTCCATCAGAATGTGGCAATGCAAAATCAGAAGACAAAAGATCTAATGTTGTCATTTCTTTTCGGTAAGCCCATTCCTTTTCTTCACATATCTTTATTTCCCCCATTATTCTCTATTTTTTCTTTGTATTTTGTTTTAATTCTAGAGCTTACTTTTAGATAGTACTGTAAAATCAAGCTTTGAAAATTAAAGGCCAGAGCTTCCCTGGGGCGCAAGGGGTGAAGACACAACCTAGGAAGCTATCCACAGCCACTGCAGAATGAATTCCATCCTTGGCCAGGGAGCTACATTGCGCAGCAGACCTCTCCTGACTCACCTGCTGCTCCCCTAAGTCATGTATTTCAGTCAATCTGCCTGTTTTGTTCCCCACTCTGTCTCTAGTGAAACCTCTCACCCCCACACCTCTGGCCTATACTCCATTTCTTGCATAAATAAATCTTTAAAAAAAAGAAAATAAATATAAAAAAAGAAAATTAAAGGTCCATACTGAAAAATAATCACCTTAGTAATGTGTCACCTAAAATGTCTCTGGAGTTAAAATTTATCCTCCTCTGTGGTGGACACATCACAGCTTGCCATATAATGCCATCGCAGAAGACAAAATGTAAGCCCACCCTGGATATCTGCTGTTCTGGAAAACATGGACCTAATTTGGGATCTAAACTTTTGGCTAGATAGATGGCTGTTCATTCCCTTATGATCTGCTACAGCATGTCCTAAACAATATGTCTTTGTAACCTTGACATTGCAAAGTGGACCTGGTGAAAATCATAAGAGCAATGGGTGATACATGACATGACAAGCAGTAATATCATATGCATTCTGCCTTTTATCATTCCTTCTCCAGTGTCTGAGATATGTTTCCTAATTAGAGAATGTAACTAAATGGTTCCATTGTCTCATAAACATGTTGCTGACTGACTAAATTCAGTTACCTTTTCCATTAAGGAATTTTTCCATGAAGCACTCTATGTTTTCTGAGGGTTCAAATGCAGTCACCCAATTTGAAAAATGATAATATGAGATCAAAATATCTTTGGGGTTTCTGTAAATGTAAATAATCTACAGAAAAAAGCAAAGTTATTTCAGTAATTATTGATTACACAGTCAGGTTTTTTTTTTTTAACACATAATGATATTGTATTATATGAATGTATGATAACTTATATAACTATTCACAATCTACTCTATGCAGTCTATTACTCATGGAAATTTTAGTGGTTCTCAAATTTTTGCCAGTACTAAGACTGTTGTAACAAAAAAATATATTCACATGATAATTCACAAAAGCGAGCATAGTGTTCAAATTCCTAGTACTTAAAAATTTATTTGTAAGGCTATTGACTATTGAACATTATCTTTCATATAGACAGTTCCAATTTACCATACGTAGGCATTCAGTGATATTATAGAAACAGTCAACGAGGCAAAGGGATTAATAAATAAGGGAAAAACCACTCACACCTGATATTGGAAGAGATAATTGTCCACATAGAAGAAAACTGAAAATGTATTTCTACCTCACACCATACATACAAATAATTAACAAGAGGATTTAAATATGAAAGGTACACCTTGATTTAAAAAATTCAAAGGATATATTTTCAGTCATATTTTTGTGAAGAAATATGTAAATAAGAATTTATATAAAATAATAGTTGATCAATAGGGTTACATTCAATTAAAAAGGATGTTCCTAATCGAAATAAACCATAAGGTTACAGAGAAACAACAAAATTTTACAGAAGGAGCACCTATGACCAATAATTAATGACCCAAATACACATGAAACTAATCATAAATAAATCCAATAAGAATTTATGCAAAGGTACAATATTTCAATGAATAAAAAATAATTATTGGCAAAAAAGTATCAACAATTGCTTAATCTCATTAATTACTAGAGAACATAAATTAAGATCAGTTTGAGATATCATTCTCTAATGACCAGATTGATAAAAATTAAAGTCTGACAGGAGAAATTATTAAAAGACAACCAACAAAGGCATCAGGAGCAACGTGGCGGCGAAGAAACGCTGCAGAAAGTTCTCCTGTAAAAACAGGTAACAGGGCGGAAAAGCGGCAGGTCCCTGAGAGCCGGACCCGCAAGAGGATGGGGCGAGGAGGGCAACCTGCCCGAAGAGGAAAGTGGCGACAGGAGAGGACGAAAAGAGGAAAGCTCAGAACCTGCTGTCTTCCCGGACCCCCAAAGCCGGCGCCCTGACGACAGAAAGGAGGAAAAAATAACAATAAAAACAAATACAAAACACAAGCAGAAACCGGAGCTCCAGCGGGACAGCGAGGGGAAAGGAACGGCTGCGGGCACCGCACCCCGCGACGGGAACCCACGGAGGTGAGCGAAGGGCTCTGGGGCATTGCGGGGAGATGAGGCCTGGGGCCGGGGGAGACCCGCAAACAGCCCAGGGCCACCTAGAAAAGCCCTCGCGAGGGAGGCTGCCCAGGTCCCCGCCCCGGTGACCAGGATCGAGGGGAGCTTCGCGTAAAGGGTTTTCAGGCTTTTCTGCCCCATTAGATTGCCCTGCCTGACGGGGCGCCTGCATGTTGTGACGTCCTTGTAGCTGAGCTGGCTACTCTGCGGCCAGGACCGCGGCGTTGAGATACTGGCCAGAGAAGCAGAGGCAGGAGAGACGCGGGAGAGACGAGGGCAGAGAGAACCCAGGGGAGCCCAGAGCGGAGACTGGCAGGGGCTGGGCGGCCTGCTGGCCTCGGGCCCGCCCCACACCCCTGCGCCGTGCGCCTGCCTGGTTGCTGCACTGCACGTAAAAGCTCAAGAAAGCCTGAGAAAGCCACCAGGGCTCTGGACTCCCCTTTACCCCGTCTGCTCCATCATAGAAATCCTGCTCTGTGCCATCTGCCCCTACAGGGAGACATGCGGGGAGCAGTCACTGAGGCGAGTGACCCTCCCTGGGTGATCAAACCAGGCACCCGGGAAGGGAGCGGGGTGCAAAAGGCGCCATTTCTGTGGGCACTGAACGGGGCTACCGCCACGGCCTGGCTCTGAGGGCTTCAGAACTGAGAAACGGGGCACGAAATTCAGGGCGTGGGAGCCCCACGATGCTGGGGCACAGGGCAGACACCGCACTCCCATGCCACTGGGGCACAGCATGCCACTCTGTTCCCTGGAGACCCACGGGGAGAAGCACGGTTCTAGAAGGATATTAGGAAAGAGCTCTGGTCCCTGGTGATCAGAACAAAATCACCAATTTCCTGATTACTGGAAGCCAGGGATTCCAAAACCACCCTCAGGCTATCAGAGGGGGTGGGCCACGCAAATGGGGGTGACACTGGGAAAAGGCGCTGAGCAAGACCCCATTCTGGAGCTGAGAGCCGGGCACCGCATCAGGGGCCTGGGACGCACCCTAAGAGTGGGCACCGCACAGGGTGACAGCCAGTGTTGTGCATCTGAGAGCCCCGAAATTGAGAACTAGAGCGCAGAATCCAGGGTGCGGGATCACAGCTGCGGGCTCAGCACCGGGTGAACTTGGGAGGGACACAGACCCAGCATGAGCAATAGCGCCTGTGTTGAGGTGCTCCCCTCCCCTCTCCCTTTCTCAGAGAACTATTGGGGGAAAAAAGCCAAGGCCAGCAAGTACAGGTCTCTGGCGCCTCCTAGTGACCAGAACGAAATTACCACCTAGCGGATTCCCTGCTGGAACTGAGGAAATCCAGAGGGAGGGAACTGTAAGAGACAGTGCCCAGCAACATAGCCACAGCATAACAGAGATTTGGCGTAACAGTGCTGGAGTGGGTCTGGTAAACAGTTTCCGACACCCCTGAAGGAGCTCTCCAAAGAGATGCCCACCAACACCAGTGGCACAATGTCCAAACACATAGAACTAATAAGAAAACAAAGAGCGGGGACAAGGAAAAATATAAATAACCAAGCAAGCCCGCAGGGGAAAAACACAGGACAAAAAGGAAAACAATCACCAGAGCTCAACACTGACATGGAAGAACTTCTCGGCCTGTCAGAGAATTAATGACCATCATGATTAAAAAGGAGAAAGAAAGTGAAAATGAAAAAAATGATTTTAGACATTGAACTTAAGAATGAAATTGAGACCTTAAGAAAGGAAAGAAAAGAAATGCAGGAGATTAAAAGATTGCTGGAGGAGATAAAGAACTCTGGGAAAAGCAATGAAAACAGAGCAAAATATATAGCAAAATAGGCGCACATCAAGAAAGAACTGAAAGAAACAACCTAATCTCACATCTCAAAGAGCTAGAAAAAGAACAACAAAAAGCCCTCAAGCCAGTAGAAGAAAGGAAATAAAAATCAAAGCAGAGATAAACTAAATGGAAATATAAAAAAAAATCCAAAAGATCAAGGAAACCAAAGGTTGGTTCTTTGAAAAAATAAACAAAATAGACAAACTTCTAGCCAGGCTCACAAAATAAAAATGGGAGAAAGCACATATAAATAGGATCATAAATGAAAGAAGAGAAATCACAACAGACTCAGTAGAAATTAAAGAAAAATCAGATATTACTATGAACACTTACATGCAAACAAATTCAACAATCTAGAAGAGATGGCCAAATTCCTAGAATGATATAATCATCCAAAGCTGGATAAAGAAGAAATAGAGCACCTAAACAGGTCAATTACAAGCAGCAAAATTGAAGCAGTAATCAAAACACCCCCCCCCCCAAAAAAAAAAAAGCCCAGGTCCAGAGGGCTTGATAAATGAATTCTACTAAATGTTCAGCAATGAATTAGTGCCTATCCTATACAAACTCTTTCAAAAAATTGAAAAAGAAGGATACTACCAAATATGTTCTACAAAGCTAACATTACACTAATACCAAACCCAAACAAAGACAACACAAAAAAAGAAAATTACAGGCCAATCTCCCTAATGAACACTGATGCAAAAATCCTCAACAAAATCTAACAATGCATCAAAGGGATAATACACCACGATCAAGTGGGATTCATGCCAGGGGCACAAGGATGTTTCAATATAAGAAAACTGATCACTGTAATCCAGCACATTAACAAAAAGAAAAATAAAAACCATATGATCATATCAATAGATGCTGAGAAAGCATTTGACAAAGTCCAACATCCATACATGATGAAGGCCCTTGTAATTCTCAGGATAAAAGGAACATACCTTAACATGATAAAACCCATATATTACAAACCCACTGCCAATATTATTCTCAAAAGAGAAAAGCTGAAGAAAGATCAGGAACAAAACAAGGATGTCCTCTCTCACCACTGCTCTTCAGTATAATACTGGGGGTCCTAGCCAAAAGCAATAAGACAAGAGAAAGGCATACAAGGAATCCAAATAGGGAAAGAAGAAGTAAAATTATCACTATTTGCAGACAATATGATAATATACATAGAGAACCCCAAAAACTCCGCAGAAAAACGACTCAAAATAATCAGCCAGTTCAGGAAAGTAGCGGGATACAAAATCAACACACAAATATCAGTAGACTTCCTACACCCAGTCCATCTATCTGAAGTAGAAGATATCAAGAAAACTATCCCTTTTATAATTGAAACAAAAAAAAAATCAAATACTTGGGAATAAACCTAACAAAAGAGGTGAAGGTCCTATAGGAAGAAAATTATAAAACACTGTTAAAAGAAATGGAAGAAGACACAAAGAAATGGAAAGACATCCCTTGCTCATGGATTGGACAAATTAACATTATTAAAATGGTCATCCTACCCAAAGCGATTTACAGATTCAATGCTATTCCAATAAAAATCTCAATGACATTCTTCAAAGAAATAGAACAAATACTGATGAAATTCAATGGAGCCACAAAAAACAGCGAATAGCCAAAGTACTACTGATGAAAACAAAGGAGAAAGGAGGTATCACACTTCCAAACTTCATGCTATACTACAAAGCCATGATAATTAAAACAATATGGTATTGGAACAAAAATAGACACACAGAACAAAAATAGACACACAGACACAGACCAAATAGAGAGCCCAGAAATAAAGCCACACTTATATGGACAAGTAATCTTTGACAAAGGAGCAAAGAATATGCAATGGAACTTTGACAGTTTGTTCCATAAATGGTGCTGGGAAAACTGGACCACCACCTCTCACCATGCACAAAAGTTAACTCAAAATGGATAAAGAAACTGGACACAAGACTGAAACCATAAAATATATAAAGGAAATATAGGTGAAACACTACAAGACATACATCTCAGTAACATCTTTAAAGACTCATCACCCAGGGCCTCCCTGATGGAGCAGGGAGGGGGTTTAGTGCAGCGCTGTGAAGCTGTCCGCAGCCTCTACAGCATGTGTTCGATCCTGGCTGGCCAAGGAGATACCCACATGGTGCGACAGACCTCTCCTATCTCGCCCATTGCTCCCCTCAGCATTGCATTTCATCAGTCTGCCTGTTCTGTTTCCCACTCTGTCTCTGGTAAATCCTCTCACCACCCCCATCTCTGGCCTGTGCCCCAGCTCTTGCATGCATAAAAATAAATAAATTTAAAAAAAATGGAGCAAATATCAAAACTCTTCTGGCACTATATCCAAACAAATATTATATTATAATCCAGTAGTATTTATGCCAGAAATAGGATATTATTAAGTTAATTGTGATTTTTATTTTATTATATATGGGGGATGAGGACATATCATGTACCTGGTTGCAAAATTGGAATCTCATGATATTAGAGCTTTCTAAATTAAAAAAAAAAGTAATATGTCAAGTAAATGAACAGAAAAATATTTCTCTTCATTCTGTGGCCCCCCCAAAAAATGGAAAGAAAATGAAAATGAAAAAAAAAATGTAAATATCCTAAAAGTACTAGAGGTCAAAGACAAGAGACAATTTTTCATCAGTATTATTTTTGTAGTTTTCTTCAAATTTTAATTACTGCATTAGAAAAAACCAAATGCATACATTGGAAAGTAGTGGAAAATAAAATGCATTATTGTTTTAAAGTGAAGTGCATCCTGGATAGAACATAAAGGGAAAATTAATACATCTCATTAAAAAAAAAAGTAGGGAATACAGCAATAACTAAATGGACAAGATAAAAAAAATTTAAACTGTTTCTAATGTTAACAGCTATAAAAAATAAAAATACTGAAATGCAGAAAAAGAAGGTAATATACATACAAAGGACAACATAGTATATTTGGTGAACATCCAAGGAGACTTAAACACAATTACAGAATGAGGTTGGATGCTAATATTGCAATACAAATGGTTGTCCCAGAATTAAACACACACACACACATTCAATTCCAAAAAACATTAAAAAAATTGGAAGAAATAACACATTAAAATGTAAAATTAATAATGTTCAATCTTACCTGCTATAATATTTCCAACAAGAAAATAATTGCCATGCATTAAACAGATCTATCAATATTTGGATAAAAAATAAAACCAAGTAAAATCAAAGAAAAAGTAAAAGGCAGATTTTGAATGGTTCCACTATGAGGAATGTAAACAGAAAAAGATACACACACACAAAATAAAAAATTGAATTCAGCAAAACAAAAATATTGGTTACCATGGGATAGGGGGAAGGGTGGAGGAGGTAGGAGGGAGGCACATGGGACATGGGCACTGGTGGTTTGGTAAAGGGGAAAAAGGAAAATAAAATGCAAAATGAGAGGGAGGGACATTGGAAACTCAGTATAACAAAAAGACTTCAAAAGAGTAATGAAGGTAAATGCTTAAACAAAAAATATTATATCAATTAGCTAGTTACCCTGACAAATATCATGTAATAGACATATTTCACATCACATGCAGTCAGACAGAATTTGTAATTTCATATAAAAAAAAGCAAAAATATAAAGTATCTAGAAAAAACTGGAGAATATTAGTATAATCTTACTGGTGAAAAAATCTTTTACAGCAAGACACAGAGTTACAAGCAATAAAGGAAAGATAATAGACTAGCTTTAAGGGTTTGGAATTATAAGTATAAATAAGTGAGTATAAATGAATTTCATTAAAATGAAAAAGAATGAAATGAAAAGCAGGAGGAGGCACAATGGACTCTGCTGGAGGATTATGAGTGCTTTGGTGGTGGGTGTGGAGTGGTTATACCTTAGGTGTAAATATCTACCTCTAAATTATATGCAGGATTGATGCCTTTACATTAACAGAAATAACACAACTTATAAATTAAAGGCATTTAACAGTTTAACAAGGTAAATATTAAATGAGACAATATTTGCCTTGTATAATTTTTTTCAAAATCTGTAATTAAAAGCCAGGGAAAAATGTACAATGGACATAAAAGATATTCAAAGGCGAAGAAATACGCAAAATGATGGTCAAACTAATTAAAATCAGAATGGCTGCAAATTACTCAAGAAAGAGATTTTCTTTTACCTATCAAGGCAACAAAGAAAAAATCCAGTCATTGGTGTTGATTAGGAGAATAAATGCATCTTGATATGCTGTTTGATGAAGTATAAGTTGATCATACAATACATATAGGTAATAATGAAAATCACTTAAGAATTTGAATACTTACCTGTAAACTCTGCTTTCAGGGAAACATTGTCACCAGAAGAAACATGTACAGAGACTTACAACAATGCTTACTGTAATGTCACATATACATTCGCTGCAAACTGCCTATCTAGAAAATGCCTGAAATACCTATGATCATAGAAGAAATTCTTAGTAAGCCATTGAAAAGATAGGGTTTTATGAGCTGAAGTTAAAGAATTTGTCCTTAGATATTTTATCATTACACTGCAAACAATGTGTGTGGTGATCCAATTTATGTCTCTACTTATAATTGCATATTTTTGAAAAGAACACAATATCATATAAATATAATAATCACATTTGAAAGACTTCATGAGCACAGATGGAGACTATTGAAGAAGATATTTTTGTGAGTCATTTTGATACTTACTTTAGCTTTTTTGTTCTTGAGACCTTTTGGCACTAAGTGATAAGGCAAGTGGGTACAAAAGATCCTAGGGGAGGGTCTTTTGGAAAAGTCAGTCTTCTGTAAATTGTATTCAATGTAGGGGGCTCTGATATTTACATTTATACTTTCAGTTCTATTACGATGGTTCTCAAAATAAATCAAGCTTAGTATTTGCTGAGTCCAGATAGTACCTATTAAGAAAAATAATCTTATGTGAACCCTGAATTAATTTTAAATGATTCATGCCCATAGTAATGTTACTCTTCTCAAAAACATTTGGGTTATTCATTTTTTTCAACCACTCTAATGATTTTATAAAATTGATTGTATGTTATATTAACATACACTAAAAAGATATAATCAAGATCTCCTAGCTCCGGGCCTTCCTGGTGGGGCAAGGGGTTAAGACTCAACCTATGAAGCTGTCCACAGCCACTGCAGCATGAGTTTGATCCCCGCCCAGCCAAGGAGCAGCCCACCTGGCACAGCAGACCTCTCCTGACTCACCCACTGCTCCCCTCAGCAGCGTATTTCGTCCACCTGCCTGTTCTGCTCCCCACTCTGTCTTTGGTGCATCCTCTTACCCTCCCAAGCATCTGGCCTATACCCTGGTTCTTATATAAATAAATAAATAAATCTTTAAAAAAAGAAAAAGATCTCCTAACTCCTCTATCTATTTGAAAAGATGTTGTTGTTCAGATTCTATAATAGTGACTCACATTAATTTTTCAGTTCCCTCTCTCATGCATGTATTTTGTGCAATCTTCCTATTTATACTGTTCTGTGATTTCCTGTGTTTCTCTGTACCTAATCTCTTTCCCAAGAGCTTTATCTTTTCAAAATATAAATTAAAGAGCTCAAAATCCCTTCACTCTATTTTTCTCATATTGTAACCTAGGTCTTCCCACACAATATTGAATGCACCAATTACATGAATGTAACATGACAATGTCTGGAGAATGCCTTTTGCACACATCTATTCCCAAACCAGAATGAAGGGAAATAACAAGGGCTCCCCAGCCCCCAAACTCACCAGACTTTGGATATGTAACTATGAAGACATCGTCATCTCTGACTTCAAAATCATCTAGGTTTTCTAGTAGTTCATGATCAAGATAAGAAGTTGAAAAATAAAAACCTTTAAATTTAAAGAGATACTTATCTGTGCTGTCCATAATGATTTGCCTACAAGAAAATAACAGATAAAACACTTTTCAGATACTTGGTGATTTATAATAAGGACTAGCACTTGCTGAGTATTCAACAAATGCCAAGCACCATTGACCTGTCAACTCATTTCCCAAACTAAACCCCTGGTTCCTATTAAGTCATTTAATCTTCAAAACCCAATATACTAGAGGTATTGTTGTTATCAGTATTCTATACATTAGGAAGCTAAGATACCAGAAAATAAAGATGATTTTTGTAAAATCCCATGAGTGAGGTTTTATCATGATCCAAAACATACAGATGAGGAAGGTAAGAAACAGGGAATTTCAGCAAATTGTTCAAGCTTTTAAAATCAGAAATCTGAAAAATATCCCAATGGAAAGTTAAAATAAAATTAGAAGCAAAAAGTCCCAAATAGGCCAGTTCAAAACAATTGACCAAGAAAAATTTGTTAGCTCTACTAAGGACTCTATTCCTGAAAGTGTAATCCATGAGTGAGTCCCAGAAGTCATTAGGTTAGAACTAGCATGTGTTTCAGTTAAGAATTCTTAAGATATTGCCGCGTACTCAAGAAACATTTAATACCTTTATGCTTGAACTCACCTCATCAATAGAGGGAGAGTGTGGAGTTATGCTTAAGAGCAGGAAAATCACTGGTATCAGAATCACCTAGTTTTCTGGGTATACATTAAGCCTCGTGATCCACTAAGAATCTGACTTTCTGAGGAATGTGGCCTCGAAATTGTGTGTTAGAAATCTCACTGTTCATCTAAGAAAATCAGGATGAAAATAGTAATAAACAATGCTTTGTTTTCCAGAGAGATTTTCTCAACACCTGAGAAGCCAGTGTGGGATGTAATTTGGCTCCCAGTTAAGACATGCAATTAAAGTCCCACTATCATACTAGAGGTTTCCTCACCAAACAATGAAATTCAAGCAGCTCATTTTTTGAGAATTGAGCATGGAACAGACTGGCTAGAAATAACAAAGACTGGTATAGAGACATAGATGGAGAGCTGTTTTGATAACAGAGTCACAAATTCTCCAGGAAAGAAAATAAATGAGAACTCATCTTTGGGACATGTTGAAATAAATTTACACTGTGTAACATTGACAAATGGAGCTTTCTATAATAGGAAATAAAGTTGAATGAAAAGCCAAAATGAAAGTGTTACTATCATCAATTCCTGTCCCCCACCCACACATTTTTACCCACACTCCCAAAAAACACCAAGTCTAGAAAATCTGAATCCTGAGAAAAGAAAGGACAGTCCCCACAAACACTGAATATCACCTCTTTCTTGCTATTTGTCTATTACGCCCAGTCACAGGAGAGAGAATTATGAGAGCTGCTGTGCCACAAGACAAGAGACAAGTGTAGGGGGTGAGGTGGATTCATGAAGCATCTTGGCTTTGACATGTCTTCTATTTCTTGCTTCTCATTGATCAATAGTAAAGAAAGTGATGAATAGAAAGAAAAGACATCATGTGTTTCCCTTTTAGTCTTGCACAGATGTTCAAGAAAAGGAAGAGAAACAGAAACTTGAAAAGAAAATTCAAACTTCCTCTGCATGCTGAAGAGAGGGTGAGACAGGAGAGGAGTGAGGCTGCCCTTCCACTACTTACTGTTGCAGATCCACAGATGAAGAAAATTCACTTCTGCTATAATTTTAGGAATGATAGGAATTGATGTGCTACTCAAATAAATACTCTCTGCAGAGTTTGTCTAGGCAATGAGGGGTGTTTCAGGGACTCAGCAAGCAGCCCTTTTTGGACAAATACATTGGGTAAGATTTTGTTGTTACTAGGAGAAAGAGATCAGATTACCCCAAAAGGTCAATAGTCTTGGGGAGAACTACAGGTTCTCAGTAAATGTAGGCTTATTACTTAACTTTGGTAACTGTACTACAAACACTGTATTCAAAGGTTGTAACAACCACTTCCTTGGATATAAAGCATGGGTCGTAAAATCTTTTAGACCTGTCTCAGGGGACTGATGTCTGTTCTTTGGGGCTTTATTTTTTGCATGTGGCTGCTAAGTTTGCCCACAGCATTATGAGAGAGTTTCCTTCCCACATGTGTAAAATTGGCTCCATTTTGACTCAGCTCACCAAAAACATGGAAGTGCCGACCCATACTATTTGATTACTACAACACTGTAATAAAGCTTGAAATCTGGAAGTATGATACCTTCAGTTTTTTCCTTTCTCCTTTCTTTGTTAGAGATAAAAGAGATCTCTTCATTTCCCTGAGGCAGATAGCCACCGTTTTGCTTTCTGATATTCTTGCTGGATTTATCACCACGTTTCAAGGACCAGATAAGATCATACAGGTCCAGAAGGCCTGGAAACAATACACATGTCTAACAATGGTACTATGGTTGTGCATAGTTACCTTTTAAATGACTTCTTTCAACACGTCTAACTGCACACAAACCTCGTGAGTTTTTTTTTTTTAAAGATTTATTTATTTACACAGGAACCAGGATACAGGGGGAACCAGACATGCAGGAGGGTGAAAGGATTCACCAGAGACAGAGTGGGGGACAGAAGAGGCAGACTGACTGAAATATGCTGCTGAGGGGAGAGCGGGCGCAACAGGGGAAGTCTGCCGCGCCATGCGGGTATCATCCTGGCTGGCTGGGATCGCACTGCACAGTCTGTAGACAGCTTCACTGCACTGTGCTTAATTGCCTATGCCACCAGGGAGACCCCCAAACCTCATGTTTTTGATGTTAAAACCCACTCATACCAATGAGCATTCTCACCGACACAAAAAGATAAAGGGATGGGAAGTTCAAATTCCGGGAATCTGGAATAATGGAAGAAAGGTGAGTGTAAGTTTCCCACCTGGGGAAAAAAAAAGGATATCATAAAGCCCTTCCTGCTTTGAGGTCTCATAACAACTCTCATGCTTTCTGAGACTGCCCGCTACCTTGTGTATTCTACTATCTCTCTTAAATAAACTGTCTCTTGCTTTATTATTGAAGCTACATGAAATGCTTTCCTTATTTCCTTACAGGTTTAGTCCCTGTAGTTTCCCCACCGCCACAGCACCTGTGATCCATCACCACAGTCCCTTGTGTCTTCCCTCCCCTGTTTTGAGACCTCTGCATCCCCCTCCACTGCTATATATCAGATCCATGGTCATTTTGCAAGTTTTGTCTTTTTCCTGACCCTTTGTTTTTTCTATATTCCACATATAAATGAAACCATCTGATATTTATCTTTTTCCTTCTGACTTATTCATCTCGGCATAATCCTTTCAGCTCCATCCATGTTGCTGCAGATGGCATGAGTTTATCTTTTTTGATTGCTGAGTAGCATTCCATTGTGTATAAACACCACGAATTCTTGACCAAGAATTCTATTTGGGGGCATTTAGGTTGTTTCTGTAAGTTGGCTGTTGTAAATACTGCTGCAACAAAAGTAGGCTTGCAGCTTTCCTTTTTCAAATTAGTGTATTTTGTGTCTTTAGGTAGATTCCTAGTAGTGGAATCATTAGATCATATAGTAGATCAAATTTTTAGTGTTTTGAGGAACCTCCACACAGCTTTCCATACTGTCAGGACCACCTTGCATTCCCACTAGCAGTGTAAGTTCCTTTTTTCAGCACATCCTCATTAGCATCTGTTGTTTCTGGCTTTTTTTAATATGAGCCATTCTCAGCAGCATGAGGTGGTATCTCATTGTGTTTTTCATTTGCACGAAATGCTTTTCTTCTAAGATGAATGGATGAAATAATATGATATATGCACACAATGGAATATTGTTCAGCCATTAGAAAGAATAAAATCTTTAAAACTGGCAACAACTTTGACAGATCTCAAGGGAGCAATAAAGCAAGAGAAAGGAATGAAATGAATACAAATTAAAGAGGAAAAAGTAAACCTATCACTCTTTACAGAAGATGGGATCATATGCACAACAACTCCCATGACTCTGGTAAAAACAAAACAAAACTTGGAAACCATCAATCACTAAAGTGACAGGCTCAAAATCAATATATAGTGTCTTTTGTGTTTCTATGTACAAACAACAAAATAGAAGAGGAGAAAGAGATCAAGAAAGCCGCCAATGGTAACATCAAAAAGTATTAAATGTCTAGGAATAAACTAACAAAGTACATGAGAGATCTATTCAGTGAAAATTATAAGATATTGCTAAAAAGAATCCAGAAGGAGAGTAAGGAAGTAGAAAGATATTCCACACTCATATTGGAGGAAATAATATTGTTAAAATGTTCATCTTACTCAAAGTAACATAGAGATACAATGAAATTGTTAATCAAAATTTCAATGGAATTCTTCAAGGATTAGAGCAAATAATACTAAAATTTATACAGAATGACAAATGGGTAAGTAAGAGACTAAGACACTTAATTTTTTTTTAAAAAAGATTCATTTATACATATAAGAGCTGGGGTACAGGCCAGAGGTGTGGGGGGTGAGAGGATTCACCAGAGACAGAATGGGGAACAGAACAGACAGACTGACTGAAATACACTGCTGAGGGGAGCAGCAGGCGAGTCAGGAGAGGTCTGCTGCGCCATGTGGATTGCTCCCTGGCCGGGGATCAAACTAGCGCTGCAGTGGTTGCCAATAGCTTCATAGATTGTGTCTTAACTCCTTGCTCCACCAGGAAGGCCCAACACTAAGCAATCTTGACCAAAAAGTAGAGGAATAGAAGTTTCACAATCCCAAAGTTCAATCAAACTAGAAGCTATAGGAATCTACACAATGTGGTAGTGGATTAAAAGATAAACATATGAAAAAATGGAATAGAATTGAGAGCCAGAAATAAGCCCACATTTTTGTGGAATTAAATTTAAGACATAAGAGCCAAGTGTATACTAGAGAAAGGAAAATCTGTTCAATAGTTAGTGTTGCTAAAATCAGTCACTCGCCTCTCTACCATACATAAAAATTAACTCAAAATGGCCTAAAATCACATCCAGCACTGTAAAACAATGCTACCTCAATTAAAAGACAATAAGTAGCTTTTACAGATTGATAAGCCTTCGATTTCAAGACTACAGTTGATCCTGTCATGTCCTCCAGTCTGGCCCAATAACTAAAAAAATAACTGAAACAAAAAAGCAAAATATTCCATAACAATATTCCAAAACAATCAGAGGAATGATCTATTGTTCACAAACCATATATGGCAAATGATGTAAAAGCCTCTACATTAATATTTATTAATTACTGGGGTTTCTCAGTAATGATAGTCAAGGGCTAAAGTATTTAATTAGATATATTTTCTTCTGAAAGAGGTTTCTGAGGAATTTTTTTGCTGAATTTAGAATTCTATCATATACTTATATCTCAGAAGACCATGAGGGAAAATACCTACCCTAGGAAAATCTTGTAGAAACTTTCATTCTACTCTCTGTCATGTAAGGATTCCAGTCTCCCTAAACCTGGTTAAAAAAAAATAAAAGAGGGGCCTCCCCTGGTGGCACAATGGTTGAGCGCTGGGCTGGGAAGCTGCCCCCAGCCTCTGCAGTGCCAGTTCGATCTCCGGCCACTTGGCAAGGGTCCCACATGGCGCAGACGTCTCCTGCCGCCTGCTGCTCCCCTCAGCAGTGCATTTCGTCAGTCTGCCTGTTCTGCTCTCCACTCTGGTTCTGGTGAATTATCTCACCCTCCCGCACTTCTGACTGTACCCAGTGCTTGTATAAATAAATAAATAAATCTTTAAAAAAAATTGCAAATTGTTTCAGAAATTTTAAGAGCACAAGGATGGTAGTGGGGGAACATGAAGGTTTTGAGTAGGGAGAAACATTATTTTTTATACTTTACTTCCGTTTTCACAAACTTCCCAGTTATTCTTCCACAAGCTTCCAATTCATACTCTCTTAATTTGGGGGCACCTAATAAAAAAAAAAATAAACAGTTGGAATAAACAGAAATACTGAACAAACTGAAAAAAAAAAAACCCCACAAAATCTTAGTGTAGGAGGAGTAAAGTGAATGCAAATCACATTCAGACAGAGGCCAGTAAAGACAGAAGCATTTATATATCTGCAAATGAAACAAACATATGGCAGTATGCTTCACTTTAACAAAGAAATTGCTGCGTCATCCCCCCTCCACGTAACCACTCTCTTTCTAAAGTCATAGATTAATTTTACCTGTTTTTGAATTGAATGTGATGTCATACAGTAAGATTTGCCATTTTCCCCAGAGTATTGTTTCTGAGATTCATAGAATATGTCCATAAAAGTTCTCTGTTGCACATATGCTTAAGAAGTTTTTCTCCATTTTAGGAGCTACCATGCAATCCAGCAATTCCACTACTAGGGATCTACCCAAAGGACACAAAAACATTGATTCAAAAGAGCACCTGTACACCTATGTTTATTGCAGCACTATTTACAATAGGTAAAAACTGGAAACAACCCAAATGCCCAAAAATAGATGACTGGATCAAGAAGATCCAGTATTTATACACAATGGAATATTATTATTCCATTATTCCATTATACACAATGGAATATTATTCAGCAATCAAAAAGATAAACTCATGCCATTCTCAGCAACATGGATGGAGCTAGAAGGAATTATGCTCAGTGAAATAAGCCAGAAAGAAAAAGAAAAATATCAAATGGTTTCACTTATAGCAGGAATATAGGGGAACCAAATAAGACATCAGTGTTAAAAAATAATAACAGTACAAAACACAGCAAAGCAAAAACAGGCAATTATAAACCAGAGACATGCTGCAGGGTAGGAGGAGGGAGAGGAGGGAGGAAGAAGCACAGGAGACTGTGGTGATGGTGCACGGGTGCCTTGGGGAAGGAAATTCTATGAGGACTCAATCTGAGGGGGTGGGGGGGAAGCAAACATTGTTTAAAAATTTTAAAAAATGATAAATGTTAAACTAAAAAAAGATTATACAGAAAAATAAAACTAGCAGGTTTGTAAAAAAAAAAGTTTTTCTCCGTTTTAGAATTATACAAGAGATTTGCTTATATTTTTCAGGTTTAGAAAATGATTTTAGTTAGTTATTTTATTATTAAGTATCACTTAGAATTAGTTTAAAAGTAATGGTATGGATAAATCATTTATTCATGCAGATAATTAAGGTAGTGACCTAGCTAAATGATTTTGTTTTGGTCCTTTGATCTTTAATGCAAACTTGTGATCCTGTCAACTACTAAAGAGTTACATGTGTGTACACATGCATTTTTTATTTTATTTTGACAATTCACATTGATTCTAAATGAAAAAAAATGTTAACTATAGAAACAAAATAATTTTAATGTCAATTTGATTGTTCCTAAATTTTACTGTGCAGATAATGAAAAAATACACAGAAAAGAAAACCCAAGACATATACAAACCATGTAGAATGATTTCTTTTTTCCCTTTTATTGCAGGTTACCAATGCAGACTATCCACAAATAATTTTAAATTTTGAAATTTCTCTTTTTCAATGTTCATCAAATTCATCCCATCTCCTTTAATCAAATTTTTAACACCGATCATATATAATTAATATTGCGATAGAAGCACAAATGAATCTGTATGTTAAAATATGTTCTGTATTAGTTGATTGGATAAACTTCTTATGTTCATTTTGTTCCCAATTTAGGATATGTACTGCTGAGGTCAGCACTAAATGTCTGTTGTTTTAAGCTGCTATATTTTGAGGTAAACAAAGTATGAATACACAGGCAGAATGAAATAAGTGCTTTACCATTTCCAGGCCACCTCTGATAATCCCACAGTGCAAATCACAGTAGCACAGAGAAGATCGCCCAGCAGGGAGCTCTTGCACAAACTCTATCAGAGGGTTCTTGTCTAGAATCAGGGAAAATTCATTTCTGCTGGAATTGTTACAGGCCACAGTTGGTGTAATTCCCAAGTACATCTTGAAAGCAACCTAATAAAGAGGGAAAAATTACTAAAACTTGGTATAAAACAAACATCTCTTAGCAAGGTATCCAAATACCCTGTTCCAGACCATATATCACAATGGTTAAGCAGGTAGCATTTGTCAAGAAGTTTGGGTTCACACTCAGCTTTGAAATTGACTGGCCCTGTAACTTTTTGCAAGTTTTAAACTTTATAAATTCTATTTGGACCAGCTGAAGGGACTGGTTTTCTCTGGAAAAATGATTTATGAAACACAGCATTAAGATAGTTCTTCCAAAACACTTTTTCAAAAGTAAATATCTTTCATGTGATTAAGAAATTAAAATACTAGTAATCATCAATATACTAGAATGATAGTTGTTATATGGGACCCGCAAATGGTAAGATCCTGAATTAGAAGGGACTCAGGACACAACAGCCCCAAAAGGGTGGTGACGGAACAGAGGATGGCATGGGAAGATTAGATGTGAAAGGAGTCATGTGGCCAAGGATGACAAGTCTGTGAGGAGCAAGGGCTAATGGTGGGAAGTACATATATGAATCAAGGTAACTTCTGAAAAAACTGTTGGTTAACGGGCTTGAAGAATTTTACCAACTAGTGATGGAGGAAATCTAGAATTACATTTTTTCATACTCCCAATACAGCACATTAGTAAACTGGGATGAATAAAAGTAAAATGACAAGGCATGGCTCTACTGTAACTTAGTTTCTTGGCTCTTTAGTACAAGGTATTTGCTTCTTACACAATAAATTGGCCTGGAATTTGAAGTATATTAATGAATATCATCAATCTGATATTTTGACTTCTTTCAAGTCCCTTAATTAAATTTTAAAAGTTGAAGATAGCATAAGCGAGAAATGGAAACAATTTCTTTAAAGTATTTATAAGTATAAAAGATCCATCAATCATTTACTTATTCACTCAATAGGTACTGCCAGTTGAACACAGCTCCTGGCACACAGCAGGAGGTCAATAATGATTAGAAAAGCAAATTATTCAATGAGTATCCATTCTGTTTAGACCCAGAAAAGTTCCTGCTTTCTAAGAGCTCAGAATATAAAAAGGACAATAGATATTAAACAAATAAGTGCAATGGTATGATAAATCCTGCAAGTACAATGTTTAGAAATGTATTAGGAAGTAATACTGGAAATATTCATAAGGAAGAAACTTCTACCCAGTTGGTAGAGATTGAATGAGAGTTTGCCAGATGGACAAAGTGGGAAGGTAGGTTATTCTGGGTAGAGGGCACATTCATGTGTATAAAATACTATGATGAGAGTTCTGGAGAGGTTAGCATCAATCACCTTGTGGTCAGCATAGAGACCAGAGGGGATGAGCAGGCTAAAGCAGAACTAAATTTCTGTTTTTGAGGGATTTTCTTTTCATCAGCATGGAGAGTAGATTTAGGGTTGAGACTGGGGTGGGCATGAGGTAAAAGGCTGAGCTACCAATCAAGAGGCTGCTGTGATGCAGCCTAGGAGAGAAATGCCAGGGACTTTTTCCATTTCATTTTTCACTCAAAACTAAAAACCTCGGGCCTCCCCGGTGGCGCAGCGGTTGAGCGCTGGGTTGTGAAGCTGCCTGTGGCCTCTGCGGCGCCAGTTTGATCCCCGGCTGCTCCCCGGCCACCAGAGGAGGGTCCCACATGGCGCGCAGACCTCTCCTGCCGCCCGCTGCTCCCCTCAGCAGTGTACTTCGGTCCTTCTGCCTGCTCTGCTCCCCGCTCTGGCTCTGGTGAATTCTCTCACCCTCCCGTGCTTCTGACTGTACCCAGTGCATGTATAAACAAAACAAACAAACAAATAAATAAATAAAACATGCCTCTATAAAAAAAAATTAAAAAAAAAAAAAACCTAAAAACCTCCCTAAACTTTTCCATACTCAAATTCTAAACATGTTCAAATTTCTGACACTAGCCAGTTTAAAAAGATATAATATGTGTCTTCCAGATCCTAAGTAGCAAGAGAGTAACAACAAAAAATATCATGACACTCCAAGGTAAGAGACATTATTTGGCTCCCCATTAGTTGGCTGAAATCCAGTTCTGTTAATATTGATTCATCTGACTGGAAAATTCCTAAACTATTATTTGTGTGAGTGAGATTTCACTGTGATTCTCAATCCAAGCCACAGGGTAATGACATAAAAATGGACACTGTGTATGTTGATGTTACTCTAATTCTCAGTGTTTGGGTTCTCGCTTCACAGCCTGATATCCACCAGCAGTAGGCATTATCTGTGTCCTTATCTGGCTGATTTCAGTCTGAGGAGGGCTGTTGTTTCTGATGAAGACAGAGTCCCTCCTGCTCTGCTAATAAATAAGGGCAAAGCATTTCCCCTTTGTGTGTCTTCAACATGGATGCTTTTCAAGGGATTATAAAATTCTTCGTTAACCAGAAAACTATTATTGATTACAGCTTCGTGGCTGTGCTGACCGTGGGAAGTGAGCGCCTCTTTTCACTTGTGGCTTTTAAGTGTCCCTGCAGCACTGAGAATACGGTCTATGGGCTGGTTTTCCTTTTGGCTCCTGCCTGGGTGTTACTGATCCTAGGATTCTTTGTGAACAACAGGTCATGGAAACTCTTCACAGGCTGCTGTGTGAATCCCAGGAAAATGTTCCCCAGAGGCCACGGTAAAACCAGCATGACAACCACGGACAAGAACTGAAACTGGCCCTGCAAGCCCAGTCTCAGGTAAGAAAGGACAAACCTGCATTTTTTTTTTTTGCCCCAGTATAAGCCTGAACTAATCTTTCTGTACTCCTTTCAGTCAAGACTGAAATCTTGTTAGGACATTTCAAAACAATGGAAATTAGAAAATAATTCAGTTAAAGACAATCCCAGGAAAAGCTTTTTGGAATTTGGATGGCTCAGTAAGATTGCTGATTGGTCTTTTCCATTTCCGAAAAGAAAATATCCTCTTGGCCTCCCTGGTGGCACAAGGGGTTAAGCACTGCACTGCGAAGCGATCTGTAGCCTCTGCAGCACCAGTTCGATACCCAGTCAGCCAGGGAGCAACCCACATGGTGCAGCAGACCTTGCCTGTCTTGCCCACTGCTCCCCTCAGCAGTGTTTTTCAGTCAGTCTGCCTGTTCTGTTCCCCACTCTGTTTCCAGTGAATCCTCTCACCCCCCACATCTCTGGCCTATACCCCAGCTCTTGTATGTATAAATAAATAAATCATTAAAATTAAAAAAAGGGCAAGAATATATCCTCTGGGTTATGCATTCATAAAATCAATTTTTTTTTCAAACTGGCTTCTAGGAAAAATGTACATAGTATTCATCTATTTAAACATAGCTCAATCAAATGAGCTAATACTTTTCAAAGTTACACATAATGTAATGTAGCATTGTGATTCTTTTGAGTTATTTCTGGCAACTACTATCTCATTGTATAAACATTGCCAAGATTGAAAAGAATTTCGCAAATAAGCAAGAACTGGCAGTCTTTAAATTGCCTTCAGTGAAGTGACCATATTCTCTAATGAGGTTATGTCCTGTGCTATTTGTGCTGTGCAGATAACGAAGTTCTTATATTATTTTAAAAGCTTGAGATTTGGGGAACTGCTTTATTTAACAGAAGGAAATAATGGATTTACCTAAATGACATAGGGAAGCAGCTTGTCATCCTCCCAGGTAAGTGAGCACAAATCCAGATGTGGAACCTTGCCCCGGCCTCAGGAAAAGACTGAATTCCTACCTGGGAGTGGTAGGAGTTGCAGTTTCCAAGCCATAACAAGCACGAAGAATAAATACAGATCCACAATTTCTAAAAAATGCAATTTGTTTCAGGATAAATGCACTGAAAATAGCATAAAATTATTTTTTTTTCAATAAGGACTTGTCTTTACCACAATGCATCAAGGCAAAATCTGTTTTTAAAATCATACATTCCAAAACTGGTTGGCAGCCTAATCATATACTTTTCCTAAACTGATGAGCCTAAAAGTGCCCCAAAGTCTCTTGCTTAATGCATAAAGTGCATCTTAGATAAAAACATGCCAGGTTCTCAAAAGTCTTCCTTTTTTTGTGAAGGAAGCTATTAATTACAACTGTTATGACACAATGAGTAATTTATGATTTATGTCCTTAGGCATCAGGCTCCTCTCAATTACTTTAGGTCCAAATACTTATCAGTGTATGAACTTTTCTTCTCTAAACACAGGCATAAGGAAATCATGTACATCCCGTCATTGCTGAGCCTGGGCACACTGAGGTGTTTACTTTTCAGAAGAATGAGAAAGATCTAAGGCTGATTCTTAGAGGAAGGTGCGTGAGGGATGCCGATAAAGGGGGCTGTATCAATAGTAGTCATGCCTCATTTATTAATCATGATGATAGAAAGATACTATAGTTCAGCAAGAATGTTATATAAATGTATATGCATTTAAAAATAACAGCATGTGATATTAACAAACACTGAATGCACAGGTGTGTTTAATTACCTTATTTTAATTCCCCAATTTACCCTTTCAGGTGGGTAACCCCTATTTTATAAATGAGGAAACTGAGGCACAGAGAATATCCATAGTGAGGGGAAAGCTGAGATTTAAACCCAAGTAGTCCCAATCCAAAGGTGGCATTCATGCAGAATCTGACTGCATGTAAGAGGCAGAGTTTGGGACTACTGGTTTGAAGAGTTGGAGCTCAGTTACAGTCTGAAAAGGTTCATTTGCTGATTATCACTTCTATTTTCAAAAAGGCACATCTATTGAGAAATATTAAGAGTCACTTAACTGAAATGCCAAGAGAAACTTCGAAGGAACTCTGCTACTTCTTCAAATATGAAATTAATTCCAAATGTGAAAAATATAATTAGAACAACAAAGTTTAGAAGATAATTTGAGCTAATTAGAATTCTGCTTTTAAAATTCAGTGCGGTAAACCCCTGCACTGAAACACTTCATATTGAGAGAGGAATTAATTTTTTTCCAATTACCAAAATTCAGAATCAATAATCCTGAAAGTTTGAAATGATCCTCATTTTTTCCTATGTTTTGTTCAGGCTTTAAATTCTCATAGTTTCAGTTTCTTTGTTTTAGCCTGCCTCACTTTATCACTGATAATGAGTAAAGATATTTTTCTCCGAGAGGGCTGCTGTTCTTTGCACAAAACGTAACATGAAAAAAATCAGTCTCTAGCCATAAATGCATTTATCAATGCCTGAAGACATCTGGCTTAGGGTCTAGTCACTCGCTCAGTGACCACATTATTCATGCACAGAATTCATCCTTCTAATAACGAATTCTATTGGTTTTTCTGATTCTTGGATAATCTATACTTTTTGCTCTTTATCACCTGCCTCCCTTCTAGTTATTCTTTACACACCATTAATGGTGCATAGAAGAAAAGAGATTAGCTAAATCTTAACATTATTCTTTATTGTTAAAGTGTTGCTAAAAATTAAAATGACTGATTCAGCAGAGGCATGGCAGTGACTGTGGTATTATGTAGTCACGCACTCCCCAGTAACACTACTCCAGGTCCCTGAGAAGTCCTTTGCTTTTACATGTCCTGAATTTTGTTTCTTTCTAAGATTGTAGGGTGGTTCCTGATTTGTTCGGCCTTTCTTTTCTCTGCTCACCACTTGTTATGCTCACTGTCAACCTTCTGCTGAACTTTTGGAAGATGTCTGCGCAAAAGGAGAAGGAGCAGTTGAAAGTTACCATTCTGGACTATGCCAACAAGCTGAGTGAGAGAAACCTGAAGTGCTTTTTTGAAAACAAGAGACCAGATGTCTTTCCCATGCCCACTTTTGCAGCCTGGGAGGCTCCCTACAGCTGCATTCTTTCCACCAAGGCCCACAGTACTACAGCACCCTCCATACGGTGGTGGAAGATGGGCTGGACCATCACCCCGAAGATGATGAGACCACAATGGTTCTTGTGGGTAGTGCCCACAGTATGTAGCTTGCCCACCAGCGTGACTCACTGCATCCAAGGATACTCTCATTCTGACATCTGCTTCCTGCATTGACAGCAACCTGTGATCTCTGGGCTTTTTTATGTTTGGTTTTCTTTATAAGACAATAAAGACCTCAGCTTTGCAACTCCCGTGCACAGACAGTGCAAGGATGTGCTCAGAGATGCTAAGTAATGGGTCAGTATGGTGACAAAGGTGCTCTTCACTGTTTGGGGTGGGGGTCAGCCCCTTAAGTTCTGTGATTTTATGATTCCACATGAGACTCATGCAAGAGGAACTGCCACTCTAAATAATGATCATGGCTTCAGGGTAGAAGTGGGCTTGTGAGTGAGCGAGGCATTCTGAACACAGACTGCCACACACACTGTGAGATTTTTCATTGTAGTCAGTAAATCTATCCCCTCTTTCAAGGATACGTGAAATTCATTCCTTTGGAATCTGAAGACATTAGTTCTCAAAAATAACACACTGGCAGCATATGGTGCCTACACCTCAGAGCTCTATGTCTCCTCTGTGCATTGAAACATCCCCCCACAGGGCAGTGCTGTGTCGTACTTGTGTGACCTTAGGCACATTTGTCTTTGTGGACCCCATTCCACTCTAAACACACACCAAAATTTATGGTAGTGTTGATATGAAGACATAAAATATATTAAATTTTTTCCAACCTAAATTTTCACTTATTCCTTCTCATTTTAAAAGAAGTTGGTAACACTTTTGCAGTCCTACAATTACTATGGGCCCAAGACACAGTGCCTGGTGTGCTGAGGGGGTAAGTCATTTCTGACTAGAGGTCTTGGGAAATTGTTCAAAGCAGTGTTGGTGTAAAACTGTTCTTCCAGTTTTGTATTTATCAGAAATATTGCAAACTTTGCACTCAACTAGGTCATATACGTACATATATGTGTATTCATACGCATATATACATGTATACCTATATACAAATATTTAGTTCCCCCAGAATGCTGAGTGGAATCATGCTTCAGTAAGAAGCACCAGGTGGCTTACGTAATAGGGAATCCTCTCCTTGTTTGAGAATCCTGGGACTGACCAGGATTGCAAAATTGGAGAATATGTTCCAGAACATATTCTTGAAAATGTATAGGTGAATGGCCAAGTGTGTGTATGTGTGTGTGTGCGTGTGTATCGTGCATGTGTGAGAGAGAGGGAGAAAAACAGAGAGACAGAGAGAAAGCAGGTAGGAGAGTAAGAGGTGGGGGCTATGAGGTGGCAATCTTATTTGGGTTTTTAAACATGTGACAAATGTTAATAAATTGTCCCCTCTACTAAGCCCCAATTTGACACATTTGCCAATTTCTTTGATGAAATTTCAAGTAATCAAAGGATGTCAGTAATGTAGAGGTAGGAAGAGTTGTTAACCATGGGTTTTCTTGAGCCAGTGTAAGCTTTCAAAGGTTTTAAGACTAGCAGTTTGTCACATTTTGTGAGGTTTTTGGTTTTGTTTTTTTTTTTAAAGATTATTTATTTATGCATACAGAGGTGTGTGGGGGAAAGGGTGAGAGGATTCACCAGAGACAGAGCAGGGAACAGCACAGGCAGACTACTGAAATACACTGCAAAGGGAAGCAGCGGGTGAGACAGGAGAGGTCTGCCACACCATGTGGGTTGCTTCCTGGCCAGGGATAGAACTTGTGCTGCAGTGGCTGTGGACAGCTTCATAGTTTGCATCTTAACCCCTTGCACCACCAGGGAGGCCTGGTTTTTGTTTTTTTTATATTTACATTGGAAATATTCTAGTGGAAATAATTTTGTTGCATATTTGGTCCATCTGGGTTTCACTTTAATAAAACCTAACATTAATAAATTCAATACAGTGCAATGACATCAATTGAGAGGCAGAATTCTCTTCTCCCCTTAAATCTGACCTTAACAAACCAGGGGAGTGTTGCAGTAGTGAAGCCAGATTGTAGAGGTGCTACAGCCAACACCTGGGTCTCTTGCAATGCTCTACATTCTGAAAGCCAGTCACCATGTAAGAAGTCCAATTGAAACAGGGGTGGAGAGGACCACGAGAGAGGCCACAAGGCAGGATGCCAGATGGATGGAACGGCCACCCACCTGCCCTGGCTCTGAGACCGGAGAGCCATCATTAAGCTCCAACACCAAAAACCTAACAAAGGACAGTGCCCGATGAGAGGTCTCCCTGCACAATTGCAGGAGACTTTAGGCTCCAGGAACAACAACCATGGGGTTTATTTTACAAACAGGGGAAACAAAGAGCTCACTGTACTCACAAGTGGCTGCTATCTCACCCAGGTAGCATCAGTGATGGTCGCCACAGGTCACCAGGAGTGCTGGGCAGCACTGGCCAGTAATGATGGCCACTACTGGCCCCGCAGAGGTGGTGTCAGAGACACCCAGTGTTAATGGCTCTTTGTGAGTTGCTGGGTTATACTAAGAACAAGCAGCTCTTTGAGACACCAGGCCCAGTGAGCCTGTGGTGCTCCTCTCAGGCAATGTCAGAGACAGGACCGAGGCCTAGTCTATGACAGAGTCCTTCAGCTTCTCTTCCCTCCTCAGAGGGTGGCTGCTGGATGCTGCTTTCTTCTTTCTTCAGAGGCTGGAACCACCTTCTTCAGGGGCTGGCGTCATCATGTCTTCTCTCTGGGGGCTGGTGTTGCATAGTCTCCCCTCAGCTCCCTCCCACCCTGGCTTATATCCTCTTTCAGGGTGCCCTACTCATAGCACCTGATTGGTCCATTCCACACCCCAGGAAGTGGGCTTTACATAAAAGGGCTCTGAGGAGCAATGGCCACAACTGACTTGTGGTGAGAGACTGGGTCCTAGGAACAAAAGTCTGATTGGACCATTTAGCACCAATCAGCTCATAGCTCAGCCTGATTGGTCCATTCCACAATCCAGGAAGTACAATGTTACATAAAAGGTCTCTGAGATGCAACTGCCACAACTGGAAAAAAGGCAGTTACTGAGCTCTGAGGAGCAATTGCCACAACCAACTTGTGGTGGAGCAGCAGGTTGACAACACCACTGCTCCTGCCAGCTCCCACCACCAAGATGGCTAGGTTCTGGTAACACAATTACCCTGAGACCCTTAGGTCTAAAGAAGACCATGTTCATCCAGTAGAGAATAACAATGAAAAAGAGAGATGCCCAGTCACTCTAGCTTACTTCTCAGATATGAGCAAAAAAGTCATTTAAGACATTGCAGCCTCAGTACAAAGGCCCCAGCTCTATGGTCCCAGTGAATCTATCACAGCCATGCAGGCATTTTAGTCACCCCATTGGAGGCTACAGAAATCAGAGTGGTCCCCAAAATGCCCTGTCCAAATCTGTGATATGGAAAATCATGTGCTTAAATAAACACTTATTGTTTTAAGCCAAGAAGTTTTGTGGTACCATGAAGCAATAGATAACCTGAACACTAGTACATAAAAATGAGAATTTTTAAAGATAGATAAAGGTAAATTGGATTTAAACATTGGATTTATACAAAGATACTCCCTCTGCATTGGTATTTCCTTAATAATTTTTCCCCTCTAGATTCCAGTTAGCACTGATTGCTGAATGGTGTGACTGAATAGATGCTTGTAGGATAAATGAAGATTGCTCAGGCTTTTGTGCCATTGGACTCGATGGCTATCAACTGCAGCCTTGAGCGCAGGAGGCACTTGGGATTGTGGGCTTGGGGTGTGCATACTCGATGGTGGACACCTGGAGCATGGTGTGGGCGTGCGTAAGTGGGTGCACCTGAGCCAAGAGACACGCTAAAGGCGACATCACACAGTCTAGTGAGGTGGAGTCCAGTGGGAGAAGCAGAGAATACCAGAGAACACCAGAGAGTCGATGGGGACTGGAAGGCCTGCTAGCCTCCTGGCCTCCAGTCCCCCTGCCTGCCCTGCACCTGGTTACCTCACTACAAATGGTGTAGGAAGATCATTAAAAGCCTGAAAAAGCCACTGAGGGCTCCAGGACTCTCATTTGCCCACTCTTCACTCCTGCCTGCCTGCACTACAGATGGCACAGATGGCAGGACAGTTCAACACAAACAGGCGTGGAGGCCTCCGAAGACTGAGATTCATGTGAAATTATTGTTGGTTAAGTGTTTGAAAGGAACACTCTGCTGTGTTGAAAATAAACATTACTAAGAAGAATAACGATTTGTCTTTAATACTTGGGAAAAATAGAGTAGATAGTGCAGGACAGGTGGGCACTGAGTGAAAAAAAAAAAAAAACAGCTTGTTCTTTAATCTGGCTCCTCAATACATTTAAGGATTAGCCACATTAGCATTATAAGGGAACTTGCTAGAAATGCAGAATCAGGCTCCATCCCACACTCACCTTTGCAAGTCTGCATTTAACAGCTCTTAAGTGATTTTATGCAATGTAAATTTGAGAAGCACTAGAGCCCTGATTCCCAAACTTGAGCTCAAGTCCAACCCATCAGGAGGGCTTGTTAAAAGGTAGGTTGTGGCGCCTCACCCACAGGGTCTGAATTGGTAGGTATGGAGTGAGGCTAAAGAGAACTTGCATTTCTAACTTGCATTTCTAAGTTCTCACAGGATGTTGATGCTGTTAGTCCAAGGATCACATCTTGAGAACAACCCCCTTACAGCTCAAAACAGGCCAGAAGAAATTCAGTATGTTGTACCCTCCCATATCTTCTGCTTTAGACATCTTTGCTAAGATGCTATCAACCTGCCTGAAAACATGGGTGCCTTAATAGTCATTCAAGGTTACCTTTGGGCCTTTAGGAATATTTAGGTTTTCTCACCTAAGTTTTGCAAGTTCCTTGTATTTGTAGGTATTCTTTCTTGCTGTTGTAAATGGTTTCTTTTTTCCATATTTCTTCTGAGTGATGGTGTAGTGACAGGAAGGGATGGAGCAGGATCTCTATGACAGGAGCAGGCAGGTGAAGGAGGAGTCCTGGAGCCCTTGGTGGCTTTTGTAGGCTTTTATTGAGTTTACCAGGTACACAGCAGGCAGGGATGCGTGGTGGCTGGGGGGCCGGGAGGCTGGCAGGTCTCCCAGCCCCCAGCAAGTCTTCATTCTTTCTGGGCTCTCTGGCGTTCTCTCATGTCCGCTGCTTTCCTTTTCTCTCCTTCTGGTGGTTCTGTTTCACTCTGCTGGCGTCCCTGTGGCACCGCTCTTATAAACCCAGTGTAGGGTAAGCATCAGGCTTTTCTGCCCTCCCACCATTAGGATGGATGATGGATCCCTGCAGTCCTGAATGCATGACTAATAGCGGGCACCTGGAGCAGGGTGTGGGCCTATGTAGACGGGATTCACCTGGGCTGAGAGACTGGTCTTGTAAGGGCAGCTTCATGGGGATGCAAGGGGAAGAGCAGAGAAGCAGAGAGAATGAGAGCAAAAGAGAAGCAGAAACCATCAGAGAAGGCCAGAGAGCCCAGAAAGAGTGAAGACTTGCTGGGGGCTGGGAGGCCTGTCAACCATCTGCCCCCGGCCCCCCTGCCTGCTGTGTACATGGTAAATCCCAATAAAAGCCTGAAAAGCCACGGAGGGCTCCAGGACTCTCTCCTTTATTCCATCTGCTTGGGTCATAGAGATCCTGCTCTGTGTTTTCCTGCCGTTACATCCAGTCATAGCCCAGGTGTGCCCACCTATGTATGCCCACACTCTACTCCAAGTGCCCACCATCGGTCATGCATTCAGGACCACAGGGATCCATCATCAATCCTAATGGCGGGAGGGCAGAAAATCCTGACAATCATTCAATCATTTACCCTACAGATGGTTATTTCAATCCATAAAAAAGTTATTGCTCTATGAAAATCCACTTCCTTCCTCCTTGCTAATTCTTTTATTCTTTGTAGAGCTTTTCAGAGTTAGAAAATAACAATTCTGCAGCCTCCAAATGATGTAATGAATCTAGACAATATTGAATTCTAAACTAGATGAAGGCATGATGGGGTCAGGAGCAGGCAACTTGAAGCCACTCTTTTGTATTTTTCTTTTTAACATCCTTGCTTGTTTTCTCACAATATAGTATTTCCTTTTTTTTTTAGATTTATTTATTTATGCATACAAGAAATGGGGTACAGGCCAGAGATGCAGGGGTGAGAGGAGTCACAAGAGACAGAGTAGGGAACAGAACAGGCAGACTGACTAAAATACACTGCTGAGAGGAGCAGCAGGTGAGTCAGGGGAGGTCTGCTGTGCCATGTGGGTAGCTCCCTGGCCGCCTGGGAATCAAACTCATGCTGGAGAGGTTGCAGACTCATGCTGGAGAGGATGCAGACTGCATTATAGGTTGTGTCTTAACCCCTTTGCCACCAGGGAGGCCCCTACTATACAGTATTTCTTCCCTCAGGTGTGGTCACCATAGTTTTCCCACCACCAAAGCACCCATGTTCCTCCACCCTAGTCTAATGTGCGCCCCTCTTCCCCTTCTTATTCTCCCTCACTCCTCTCTCAAAAGTCTCAGGTCTATGGGCTGCTTTCAAGGTAGCACCTCTCACAGTTTGTCTCTGTCTGACCCTTTGGGTTTTTTTTCTCTAGAATCCAAACATAAGTGGAAACCATCGAGTCAATCTTTCTCTTTCTGGCTCACTTCTCTTAGGATAATACCCTCCAGGTGAGAAAATATTTGCAAACCATAGATCTGACAAAGAACTGATATTGAAGATATACAGAGAACTGCTAGAACTCTACAAAAACAAGGCAAATAACCAATCAAAGATTGGGCAAAATAATTAAACAGACTCTTCTATTTTTTTTATAATAAATTTTATTTTTATATTCCCCATACAATTGCAACCCCCCCATTCTGACCCCCATCCCTCCTCTCCCGCCCTCCACCCCCCAAAAAGTGTCTCTGGTTCATAGTTTTTTGTTGATTTTGATTTTTACTTTCTTATAGTTATTCATTTTCCTGGTCCCTTATTTAAGTTTTCTAGATTCCTGCTATGAGTGAGACCATCTGGTATTTTTCTTTTTCTTTCTGGCTTATTTCGCTGAGCATGATCCCTTCCAGCGCCATCCATGTTGCTGCAAATTGCATGTGTTTATCTTTTTTGAATGCTGAGTAATAGTCCATGGTGTATATGGACCACATCTTCTTGATCCAGTCATCTATTTTTGGGCATTTGGGCTGTTTCCAAAGCTTAGCTATTGTAAACAATGCTACTATAAACATAGGGGTACAGGTGTTCTTTGGAATTGATGTTTCTATGTCCTTTGGGTAAATACCTAGGAGTGGAATTGCTGGATCATATGGAAGCTCTATGTTTAGTAGGTCCAGAAATCTCCACACAGCTCTCCATAGTGGTTGGACCAGTTTGCACTCCCACCAACAGTGCAGGAGAGTTCCTTTTTCTCCACAACCTCGCCAACATTTGTTAAACAGACTCTTCTAAAAGAAGACATTCAAGGGTCAGCAGGCACATGAAAAAACATTCAGACTTATTATTAGAGAATGCAAATCAAGAGTATGAGATACCACTTATACCTGTTTGAATGGCCCATATGGAAAAGACCAGAAAGAACAATTGCTGGTGAGCATGTGGAGAAAAGGGAATCTTCTACACATGCAAACTGGTCCACCCCTTATGGAAAACAGTAAGATGGTGTCTCAAAACATTAAAAGTGGGTCTGCCTTCAACCCTGTAATTCTACTCCTATGCATCTACCAAAAAAATGCAAAAAAAATTTCCAAAGGAAGTT